TGGGGATTCATACCGGTGAGAAACATTTCGTTTACGAAATATGCGAGCGTTGATTTTCACAGAAAGTTCACCTACTAAAACAGAAGGAAATCCACTTGCGACGATGAATGTAAATTCTTGATATGTACATGTTTTAATAAAAGTATATATTTTTTTAAATGTCTTGTATATATGATATATTAATCGATGTATTTTTAAAAATAAATTGTTTAGCATAAATTGTATTAATATTTTAATGTATTTCCATCCTTTGACAAAATAAATTTTACTTTCTAACAATATTTCATGGAAGCATTGAAAAAAAGAAATGTATTTCAATTTTGTCCAATTTAAAACAAATATATTACCCACTGATTAATCGGATTTGATCAGTAGTACGCGGTTAGGGGATGTCCTGTCTATCTGAGAAATCCTCTTTTTGGAATATATTAGTCATTATTATTTTTTTTTACCAAAGGGATAGTTCGTTATTCCTGCAAACATCGAAATAAAATATGGATTGGATTTGATGATCTGACCTTTTTATAATTGTTACAGTATGGTTTTTATTATTTTTTTGTATTATATTTGTTACTTGTTATGCGCATAAAAAACGAATGATGCTATTCTTTTACAATAATATATTGGTAAATTATTATCAAAAATGCAGTTATTGCTTATAAATGTTTCTTTAATTGGAGTAGAATCTTACGTCAATTGAATCTGGCACTTCAGATTGATCAATTTTTGAATTACTTTCCCATTTTCAGTACATTATTAAAATCATTTTAGATTTTAATGTTATTGTATTTAAAATGAGTGATAAAATAAATGTATTCGAAACGTTGTAACATTTTACTGAATAATTCCAATTTATGAACTAATGCGATTTTCTTTCGGTTAATTATTAATTTAAAAAATAAGATTTTTTTTTCTAACTGGTCAGGAAAGTGTTGTTTGAAGGAATGTGTAGAGATTAGTGACCGTTAATCGATAGCCCAATGGCACTCTCAACACGACACGCAAGGATGGCACAATTACACAGAAGACAAACACTTTGAGCGCTGAAGATGATCTCAATAAAGATCGAAACGTTGGCACGATAAAGAAAATGTTTTTCTGAAACCTACATCACACCCGACGCATCTCACCATATCTGAATAACTGTTGTATGAAGGGGTGGGGAAGGAAGTCGGTATAGAAACTCATTTTTATATAAGGAAAGAAGGGAAAAAATGGTTGGTAATAGTTCGGCCAGATTATCCTTTCACGATTATACAGACGGGGATGGCACACTTCCTCAGAAAACAAACACTTTGAGTGAGTAGAAATATTTTGATTTAATATAAAAAATATATTTTTTGCATTATATAAATTCACTTTTTTCCACATCCTACATGTATTTGTTAAATTTAAACAATGTTTCTAAATCCCAGGCCCTGAAGATGATCTCAATAAAGATCGAAACGTTGGCACGATAAAGAAAATACTTTTTCTGAAACCTACATCACACCAGACCGCATCTCACGATTTCTGAATAACAAATAAAAATATATGATATCATCGACTAACGGTCACTAATCAGCACACCCATTTTTATATATTGACATTATATAATCTTTCGGTCTATTTAGAATTAATCAATCTGGTATTCGTTTAATTAAACTGTCCATAGTTTAGTGTTTGTTTTATGGCTTTTTATCTGAATAAATTATTTTAACAAAAATAATTGTAATATTATGGGTTTATTTTTCTGTTTTATTCATTACAATTAATCAGAATATTTTGCAATTAACAAAATAATATTTACATATTTATTTATCTGGTATTCCTTACATTAAAATTAGTTGTATTACGTACGTCATTTCTTCTTAGCAAGGCAGTGTTGTGAGCATGTGTAAATCTTATTCACCACAATACACGCGTATTCATACTATATGTATAAATATTTGCAATACTAATTTTATGATTTTTTCTTGTTTAGTATTGAACTAATTTTATTGATGGTAATTTTAAACATTTTAAACTAACACATTTAATTCATTTACATTGTTTCCACTGAATCAAATCACCAGCTGTGTAGAGTGAAGTGGAAAAACATTTATTTATGTTTATTTAGAAATCGTGAGATGCGGTCAGGTGTGATGTAGGTTTCAGAAAAACATTTTCTTTATCGTGCCAACGTTTCGATCTTTATTGAGATCATCTTCAGGACTCTAAGTGTTTGTCTTCTGTATAATTGTGCCATTCTTGCGTGTCGTGTCGAGAGTGCCCTTATTTATTTATGTGGTATTCGTTACATTAAAATTCGTTATATTACAACTTTATTTAAAATTTCTTTCTGATTTTAAGTAAATCAAACTAATTTAAGTAAAAATTTCCAGATTTTCTTGAAAAAACCGTTGCTACCTAAAGTTACATTGAATGCTTGCTAATCTCCGGTGTTGTCACTGATTGGGTGATCGTGGTAAAGTCATTTTTCCAGGGGGCGTGTCAATTTTAATCCCTCTACCTGGAACATCCCTTCCGTTGGGCAACACCGCCGATTGTTCTCTCTTCCTTCAACTTAATTTTTCACTACAAAATTTTTCTAGGATTTTGCAACAAAGTTTACTTAAATATTGAAATTTTAATTAAATAAATAATAGAATTTTTAATTATAATAGACATAGATATTATAATGTGCAAAAAAAAATTTTCTAGAAAACTAAGGATACCCATATTTTATTTAAATTATATTTAAATTATTTATTATATTTAAATATAATATTACATATCTAAATATATTGTATTGTATATGCATTCTTACATATATATTTTTTAAATAATTCCAAAGTGAAGAGTGTTGTTCTGATGAGGGCCAAAAATTATGCCGGTTAAGCAAACAGGTTCTACAATTATTTAAAATATTAAACAGCTATGGATTAGAGGAAAAGGGTTATGTAAATTGATATGAGTTGCAACAAGAATGCTGAATAAATACTTAATTTCAATCCTTCCCTATTTTATTGAAAGTAGATTTTGTAAATTGACATTTCGTATAGGGTGATTGGCGTCTATTTTGACGGATTAACGGTGACAGTTAAACAACATTTTTTTCTTAAGGAAGTGCTGCTAGATAATATATAATGTATATATATTAATAAATGTGATATTTGTTGTATTAAAATTTCAACATTTTCATAAACAACTTTTCAGATTTGCTGGAAAAAACGTTGGAATGGAAACTTACGTAAGACGAAGAGGTGATAATCCGCGGTGTAATTATGCGGTAATAATTAAAAACTGTGATGCTCAATAAAAAGTACGTAATTAATTAGGAAATAGAAACAAAATAGACATTTCATCAATAATTAACCTTCTGTTGGCAATTAGTACAAGGATAAAATTTAAGATTTTTTTTCAAATCCTTGTTCAACTGAGAAATTTATACGAAATGGTGGAATGAAGCGGAGGACAAAAAAAATAAAGAAATAAAAATACCAGACGTTTTTCTTGTTTTGTTTCAAACTTTCAAACTATATGTATTTTTATCTATGTATTTTTACTGTTAGAATGACTAAAAAAAACTTCTTTTAAAAGCTAAATTAAACAAGATCAAAAATTGTTGATTGTTCAAAAATTTCCATTTTAATTAGCTCATTAAGATTTAATTTTGATGGATTGTAAGAAAATTCACAAAACACCAAAAAATCCTTCAACTTAATTTTTCATTCCAAACTTTTTTCGAGGAATTTGCTATAAAGTATACTTAAATATAGAATTTTTATTTGAACGATTACGATATTTTTAATTATAATAGACTTAAATTTAGATATCACGAATTTGCAAAGAAAACTGTTCTAGAAAACCTATATTATTATATTTAAATATAATATTACATACCTAAATATAATGTATTGTACATTTTTTACCATAATTCAAATTATTCCAAAGTGAAGTTTACTGTTCTGAAGACGGCAAAAAATTATGCCGGTCAAGCAAACAGATTCTACAATTATTTAAAATTTAAATGGCCATGGAATTGAGCAAAATGATTTACGAAAATTGATATGATTTGCAACAGGAATGTTGAAAAAATACTTAATTTCAATCCTTCCCTATTTTACTGAAAGTAGATGCATTAAACTTAAACGTATATTTCGTATAGGGTGACGTTTAAATCTATTTTGCCGCATTAATGGCATCAATTAATATCCAACATATATTAAAGTTTTGGGCCTAAATATTCTTTTCTATACTACTGAAACATTATTTTATTGTGTTTATCACCTATTTATCGATTCATTATAATTTCTTGTGTTCTTTTTACACTTTTAACAAGAAAACATAAGAAACAAAGGAAACGAAAATTTTTGAAATATGTTTTTTATTCCTGTTTGGTGCAAAAGCTTTAAAACTATATACGGTTTATATTAAACTGTTATTTTTAGAATTTCTAGACGGATTTTATCTTGCTTTTCAAGAGGAACCTTACCTAAGAGTACAAAGGTCAAAAAAAGAAAGTCAGAAAATTGGGGATTCGGCATTTCTTCTTAGTACGGCAGTGATTCAGTAATAATTAATAATAATACTTTATAAAAAGTTCGTAATGAATGAGGAAATAGGAATATCCGACGTTAATTCGATAATTAACGTTCCGTTGGTAAGTAGTACAAGGATAGAAATTAAGAATTGTTTCCAAATCCTTCTTCAACTGAGAAATTTATTGGGTTGTCCGGAAAATAATGCAGGATTTTGGTATTAAACAAAAAAAAAGAAACTAGTTACTTTAAAGCAATGTTCTTTAATCAAAATAATTTCCCNGATATCACGATTTTCCGACGCCAGGACGTGATATCTTTCAAAATCGATAAAAAGCGAAATTACTCTGAAATGGTTGAGAATCGGACCATGGACAATATGCACTTTTTTGTTCATTTTAGGGTGAAGAATCTACTGGAGAAGTTTGTAGCACGAGTAGCAATTCACCCTGTATATATGATATTCACTACTATATATGATAATTATTAATTACATTATTACTCCATGCACACATGGTTATAGTATCAAATAAGTAAGTAAAATTAAAACTAACACAATAACTAAATTAACGTGATGAACTTTTCAGATTTGCTCAAAATTGGGTAGAATCCGGAATTGTACTCGGACACCTACAGATTATTGGCTATGTTCAGGACCACAGACTTCAATTATGTATCATATATTCAAATTATATTTAACAACTGACAAAAGTAAATACAATATACGAATAATAATAATAATCTGCGTTTACTTCCATTTGTATAAATATTGATACTATTTAATGTTCAGATCTTTTACATATTTATAAATCTGGAATTTATTAAAGAAAAATTTTGAAATTTAATTCAATGTCTTATATGTTTAAGATGTCCTCGAAAAACCGTCGGAATGGGAAAATACGTTAGAGGAAAAGACGCTAATCCGCGGTGTTGCTCAACGGAAGGGATGTTCCAGGTAGACGGATTAAAATTAACACGCCCCCTAGAAAAATACCGAAATTCCCGGGCTTTACAAATTGTCCACAATGACAGGAAGCGTTTCATTGAACTATTGGCCTCAAAGGGTTGATCATCTTTTGTCGAAACTTTTTCCAGTGCTATCTTCACTGAAGAAATCGGTAAGTCAAATTTCTGATTATTCTACAACATTAAGATGAACTTTTAGTCTTACCTTCGTACCTTTCAACCCGACTTCGGGTTTCTTTCTTATGTTTGCTTTTTGTATATTTTGTATATACAGTTCAAATAAAATGTAACTTTCATATTTTCAATTTCTGAAGACGTTCAAAATTTTATTTGTTTTAAAACTGTATATACTATTTTTGAATTTGCAATACAGATAAAGGTTGGTTTTCACGAAATGGAATGGAATTTTATGAAATCGTTATACTTATTTTTATAATACAGAAACGTCTTACTTATTTTTGCATTAACTAATGGATTATTTTTATTACTTACTTGTTTCAATTTACTGTAACTGTGTTTAACAAATGTGTTTTTGTATGTTGCAGGTAATAAAGTCAATAAAAAAAATGGAGAATCTGGCTGACCATGTTTTACCTCAGATTGACGTTTCGGACAGCGACTTCGTTTTCGATAATTGTGAAGAAAGAAGGCAGGCGGCTGACGTCGATCGTAGCGCGTACACTTGCTACGGAACGTGCACGTTCCAGTCATCTACTTTTGACGGATTGGACGACAGTTCAGTCCATTTCCTCCACATCCTCTTCCACATGGACGAGAGGATATTGCAGAAGATTGATGCTGGACTTGGAGGAAATGAAAACAGGCTCATTAAACCCCCGACGGAGGCGCAACCCAGGATGCACACTGGACGGCCTAAAGGACTGGCGTCCACGTCGGGAGTCAACAAAGACAGGCATATGCATTTCTGTGCAGTATGCCGAAAAGGTTTCAAAGACCGGTATGCCCTGAAGGTTCACTTTAGGATACATACCGGCGAAAAACCTTTCATTTGCCAAATATGCGCACGTGGGTTTTCTCAGAAAGCCCATCTTTTAAAACACAGGGAAATCCACGTGCGACGATAGAGTTAATTTTAAATTTGTATATATATTTTTAAATGACAAATATATGTAATATATACATTGATATGTTTTAAAAATAAATTATTAAGCTTATATAAAGTTGTATTAATATTTTAATGTACTTCCTTCCTCTGGCAAAATGAATTTAACACGTTTTACTTATCTGACAATAAATATTTGGTAAATCGTTATACACAGTTGAAAATTGTAGCGTTAATGCCAACAAGGCTCGAAGCTTAAATGATTATTTTTAATTATTATCAATTTAAGCGTAGATAAAGTTGGATCGATGTTACCGATCCGTTTATTTAATAACTTTACCTAATATTTTTATTATTAAGAAACCAATGAAGCGCAGTGCATTTCACATTTTATTGAATAACAAAATTTTATGAACTGATGCAATTCGATTATTAATTAATTTCAAAAATATGTTTGTCTTTTTAATTCTAACTGGTCAGGAAAATGAATTCGTAGAAAGATTGAATTTTTTTAAATTTCAAATACTTGTTGAACCCTATCTACCTTTATTACCTTCATCCTTTCCTGGTTATTGCTCGAAAAAATAGGCAACTTTGGAAATGCATATTTTCTCAGCCAATTAAATCATAGATCTGAGTTTGGTCTCATTTTTATGAAATTTCATGCTGAACAAGATAGCTTTTTTTTCTAAATGTTTTCCTAGCTTCAGTCACTCATCCATAAGTAAATCCATATATTCTGGAACGTGTCCGCTTTTGTACTTTTTATGAAAAGAGTGTTTTTTATGTGACTTGACGTTTTATAATTTCTTGAAGTCGTGAGGAGTGGTCAGGAATGACGCAGTTTAGAAAAACACCTTTTTCATTTTTTTGCCGATGATTCGGCCTTTATTTGAGTCATCGTCAGGGCATAAAATGTGGTCAATTCTTGCGGTTTCATATTGGTTATGTGGGGTCAACATGGATTTGTATGCACTTTTTCTGCAATTTGCAGAAAAGACCGGTATACATTGAAAGTGCATTTCCTGATTCAAACAGGTGATATGCCGTTTTTTTTTGCGATATATGGGATCTCATATTTTAAACCATAAGGAAATCCATTTTATACGATAATTTATTTTACAATACAATAGTAAATTAATGCATAATGAATCGCACATTTAAATTAATACTACAGAATTTTCCTTTCCTTGTTCAATCGAAATTCAATTTTTGTGGCGTAAAACAAACGGAAAATAACGCACATGCATTAATTTCAACCAGTAACACTGCTCTTTTCATAAGAAAACATGAGAAAAAAAGGAAAGACAATTTTGGAAATAGTGTTTTTTTTACTCATTTTGTACACTTGCTATATTGTGCACTTTCCGTTCATCCACGTTTGAAGAATTGGACGACATTTCAAACCATTTCCTCCACTCTTTCACATGGATGAACGGATATTGAAAAAGATAGACGCCAGTGTTGAAGAGAACCGAAACAGGTGTGTGAACCCCCCCCCCCCCAATGGAGACGCAACCTAGGGTACATACTCGATGGCCCCGATGGTTTCGCTTCGACGTCGGGCGTCAACAAAAACAGAAACATGCACTTATGTGCAATATGTCGCAAAGGCTTTAAAGACCGGTATGCCCTGAAGGTTCATTTCAGGATACATACCAGTGAGCAACCTTTCATTTGCGAAATATGCGAGCATGTGTTTTCACAGAAAGCCCACCTTTTAAAACACAAAGAAATCCACTTGCGACAATGAAGTAATTCTGAATTTGTATATATTTTTAAAAAATGACTAATATATAGATTGATTTTTTAAAATAAATTGTTAAGGATATATAAAGTTGTATTAATATTTCCTTCCTCTGATAAAATAAATTTAACACGGTTTACTTATCTGACAATAAATATTTTAGTTTTACCTTAAAATTTTGGTGAGCTACTTCAACTTCGATTTCTGATTCGTAACAGTTTAGTAATTCTGGTGCATAGATTACGCCTTTTAAGTAATTTAACGTTTTATGCAAAGTGAATTTAATTGGTCTATTCTCATACACAATACAATATTTTAGTTTTACCTTAAAATTTTGGTGAGCTACTTCATCATCGATACATAAAGTTGTATTAATATTTTAACCCACTTCCTTCCTCTGACAAAAAAATTTAACACATTTTCCTTATCTGACTATAAATATATATATTTTTAATTCTAACGGTGAGGAAAATTGATTCGTAGAAAGATTGATTTTTTTAAATTACAAACACTTATTGAACCCTGTCTATCTTTATTACCTTAATTCTTTCCTGGTTATAGCGGAAATACATGCCATCAATGCTTGTGACCTGGAAAATCTTAAAAGAGGTTACACTGTCAAAAAAATGCTCAATGGAGGTTTAACCTAATGTACAGAAAAGACTTAGGGAATCAAATTGCAGTAGCAACAGTCAATGACCTGATACTTCTAAGAAGAAGGATTGAGTCCATTGGCTGAACTAAGGAACTAGGAAGGCACAATAAGCCAGAAGGCTGCAGTGCCTGGGGAATACAAACCCCGCTTCCTAGTATCCTTACTATGCATTGACACTATATAATTTTTCGGTCTATTTAGAATTAATCAACCTGGTATTCGTTTAATTAAAATTTCTATGGTAATATCATAAGCAAGTAAACTTGGTTTCAGGGCTTTTTTATTTGCAAAAATTACTTTAACGAAAATAATTGTAATATTATGGGTTTACTTTTCATTTTTATTCGTTCCAATAAATCAGAATATTTTACAATTAAAAAAATAATATTTACTTATTTATTTAAGTGGTATTCGTTACATTAAAATTAGTTATATTACAAATTTAAGTAATATATTTTTGATTTTCTTGAAAAACCGTTGCAACCGGAAGTTACATTGAAGGCAAGCTAATCGCTGGTGTTACCACTGATTGAGTTCCGGTTTTAAAAAGTGATGAATAGTGTGGGAGTTGGAACAGTTCTGCCATTTTAATTTTTCAGGACCCTGTGAACTTTGGACACTCTGAGTCTCGATTTCAAACAGGATTTCTGATTCTGGATAGTTCATTAATTCAGAAAGGAATGTGACAACTTTGGAGAAGTTCAATGAGCGATTCAATGTAAAATACACTTCGATATTTTCATAATTTCTAATGCTTTGGATGTTTCGATAATCATTTTCACAGTCGATGTAAAGCAAAACAGATCCGGAGGGTTTCCGTTGAGGGTTTGAGTGGGTAACTTTTTAAAAAGTTTCAAACCTTAAACTCTATGGAAGTAAGGAAGTATAAAAATTTTTCCTGAAAAAAATACCGCAGGAAGTTAAAACTAAGTTATTTCCTTATCCTATAAAAACCATTTTAAACTAACACATTTAATTCATTTACATTGTTTCCACTGAAGCTATGTAGAGTGAAGTGGATGAAACATTTATTTATGTATTGACATTACATAATTTTTCGGTCTATTTAGAATTAATCAATCTGGTATTCGTTTAATTAAACTGTCCATAGTAATATTATAACCAAGTAAACTTCGTTTCAGGGCTTTTTTTATCTGAAAAAATTATTGTAATATTATGGGTTTACTTTTCAGTTTTATTCGTTCCAATAAATCAGAATATTTTACAATTAAAAAAATAATATTTACTTATTTATTTAAGTGGTATTCGTTACATTAAAATTATTATATTACAAATTTACGTAAAATTTTCTGATTTTCTTGAAAAACCATTGCTACCTGAAGTTACATTGAATGCTTGCTAATCCCCGGTGTTATCACTGATTGGGTGATCGTGGTAAAGTCATTTTTCCAGGGGGCGTGTCAATTTTAATCCCTCTACCTGGAACATCCCTTCCGTTGGGCAACACCGCCGATTGTTCTCTCTTCCTTCAACTTAATTTTTCACTACAAAATTTTTCTAGAAATTTGCAATAAAGTTTACTTAAATATTGAAATTTTATTCGAATGATTAAGAGAATTTTTAATTATAATAGACTTAAACTTAGATATTAGGAATATGCAAAAAAAAACTGTTCCAGAAAACTCCAAGGAAACCTGTATAATTATATTTAAATATAATATTNTGCATAATTCAAATAATACCAAATTGAAGTTCTTTGTTCTGAAGACGGCAAAAAATTATGCCGGTCAAGTAAACAAATTCTACTATTATTTAAAATATCAAATGGCTATGGATTTGAGCAAAAGGGTGTAAGTAAATTTATATGAGTCGCAACAGGAATGTTGAATAAATACTTAATTTCAATCCTTCCCTATTTTACTGGAAGTAGATGTATTAAACTTAAACTTATATTTCGTATATGGTAATATTTAAATCTATTTTGATGTAATAATGGTGAATTGATAAATTGAGGCTTTAATGTTGTCATGGTGAATGGCCTCAGTTAATATGCCATACATATTAAAATTTTGGCCCTAGTCCTCTAAATATTCAAAAAAAATTATAATGCGAAGTAAAAAAAAACTGTAGATTGAGAAAGCGATGAATCCAAGTTACTAGCTTAAATCCGCAAATTTCTTTTAATCAAAAACAACTTCCGAACTCACAAAACATCTAAAAAAAGACTACCGTGGTTCTATCAATTCACTACGTGTTCGACGTATCAACCAATAAGCGAAATGTGGTCATTGTTAATGCTCTGGTATTATAAATATTTCCCCCTTTGGGAAAAAAAGAAGAAAAAAATTCCCATACTATCCCAAGTATAAGTGTAAAATTAGACTTAGTATTTCTGGTCTTTGCTGTTTCACTTGATAGTTCCTCTCTTTTCCATCGTGATATGGTTGGTGATGTGAGTTGCTGGGAGAAGGTGAAGACTTGGCGAGTTCATGGAGTTGAGCGAGTAAGTGCATTTCTGTAATTTAATAATCAATATGGTTTTCGTTCCTGAATGTGAATTTTAAATAATAGTGTTCGCTCTATTTACTTTTTTTGTCATTTTACAAACTTTTCCTTATTAGATTTTTGAAATCCCTATTTTTTTAAATTGTAATTTTTTTATTCCGAATAATTAATATTTTGAAAAATGATTTTAAGAGTTTCGCTACATACGTTATATTACAAAAAAATAATGGTTTCTGCGGTAAGGTATATGAATGTTTATTTACATTTAACGGATTGCAATTTTAATCCTCAACAACTTGTCACTGACCACTGTATAACGTTCAATCCCAAGTTGAAATTACATGTTTTCCAATCGTATTAATTCATTATATTACGATTGGAATATTAAAATTATATGAGAAGATAAAAGGTATAGCTTAATTTCTTTAATACATACATTTGATGAACTTAGTTTATAGTTGATTATAATGCAATAATTTTCTTATTATTTTTTCTTAATTTGCTTTGATTTGGATTTAAGTTGCGACATGTGGGCATGAATTAATGTTTTGGGGTTGTCGATTCCTTGAATTAAATACGAAACTTGATTAAATATATTAACTACTTTATAGGGTCCAGTGAATTTTTTGCAGAGGGAAGCCTGAATATTTTTGTCTTTATTAGATAAAATATATCTTTTGTAAGAGACGATGTCACCGATTTTTGGACCTATTGCGTTACTGTAGGTCCGTCCCCGAGGGAGTGGATCTTTTCCTTGTTTAGATAAATGAGTGAATAATAAACAAAAGAATATTTAAAAAAAAAGCAATTCTTATATTGAGATATTAACAAAATTTGCAATTAAGGTCGTCAGTTTGGAATTAACAATTTGACAATTTTTAAAGGAAACTGACTGATTATTATTTTCTTTTAAATTAAAAAACAGAAAACTTCTTACATTGACTAAATATTACTACTACTATTTTTTTTTAAATTAAAAACGGAAACAATTCTTATGTTGAAATAAAAACAACTGTGTAGCTGATTATTTATCCCGATTTTCTAATTTTTCAAACACATCGGAAAATGATTCTCATTTTAATTTTTTTACATCTCCATTGAAAGATTTGCCTTCGCTTTTTGAAAATTCTGGAGAAGCGCAAATGAGTGACTGCGATATCGCACAAAAAGTACGTGACAAAGATACGAATATAAGAATAATGAAAGGCTTAGTGTATTATATATCTCCCAAAAATATTGACGTTAAAAAACTATTAGTCCCAAAGAGTATAATAAATCCAATTTTCCAATATTTTCATGTCAACATGTATGGTGGACATCAAGGATTTTATAAGACATTAGACAGAATTCGATATCTTTTTTGTTATAAATGCATAAGGATATAAAAAATATAGTTGCAAACTGTCATGTGCACAAATAAAACCAAACCATCATCCCTATCCAAAAATTTTGCACAGTACACCACCAACTAGAGTGATGGAAAAACTTTACATGGATTTTGTTGGTCCTCTTCCACTTCATCCAAAGGAAATAAATTTAATTTAGTTGCTGTTGATTCCTTTAGTAAATTTTTGTTTGCCTTTCCCTGTCGTAATACCACCGCTTAGATTGTTATAAAAAATTTACAGAATGGTATCTTCGCCCAACATGGTCTACCGACTCATATAATAACGGACCGACAATCTTGCTTTCGTTCGAAAACATATAAAAAAATTCTTTTCAATTTGGGGATTATCTACATTTCTAATATTTCTCATTACCCGCAAGCTAATTTAGCTGAGCGATATATTTCAGGACAAAAAAGGCTATTAGAACATATCATTCAACTTCACAAAAAAAATGGAAAGAAAATTTATTTCTTTTTACCATTGCATTAAATTCCGCAAAACATGACACCACAAAATGTACTCCTTCTTCAATATTTTTAGGCCGAGATTTACAGCATCCTTTAACAATAAAATTTCATTTAGAAAAAGACATCATCTTACTACACCTGAACTAGAAAGTTTAATATCAGAAACTTACGAACATTTATTAGCCGTTCATAAAAAACGACTTAAAGCTTATCATAAAAATATCGATGCGCATACTCCACGCATAGGTGATATTGTATATCACAATAAGTATGTACTATCCAATAAGGCCAAACATTTAAAATCATCTCATTGCGCCGAATATATTTTTTTCATCATTTGCAGACAATAATTTAATGGAAGGATGAAAAATATTCTTCTGGTTTATGAACTCCTTACGGTTCAGAGTATCAAATATATTTTGGGAAATTGAAGTTTTAGTCGCCCCAGAATCAATAAGGGAATTTACAGGTATCTTATCCCATTGGAATACTCTAGTCTCTTCAATTTTAACATGTTTTTCAATAGGAAACTTACCTAAGAGTACAAAGGTCATATAAACAAACAAAAAGTCGTTGGAAATAGGACAACATTGACTACAGTTCGTGTATATGATATTTTTCGTTAAGTATTTTAATCACTGTACATTTAGCTCTAGTAACGAATAATTAAGTAAAAATTAAAACTAACGCAATATTTAAATTCTTGGGACGAACATTGTAGATTTGCTCAAAATTGGGTAGAATCCGTCGTTGTCCACGGACACCTCCAATCATTGGCCATGTTCACGACCACAGACTTCAATTTTGGTAATATTTATTTAAATTATGTATAAAAACTCACGAAAGTAAATACAATATACGCGTAGTAACAATCTGCGTTTACGTCCATTTATAGAACCTATCTGTTATACATATTGATACAATATAATGTTCAGATCTTTTTCATGTTTATAAATATGATTTTTCTTATAGAAAAATTTCTAAATTTAAGTGAAATATGTTTCAGATATCTTAGAAAAACCGCCGGATTGGGGTTGAACCCAACCGCGGTGTTGCCCAACGGAAGGTGTGTTCCAGGTAGGGGGATGAAAATTGACACGCCCCCTGGAAAAATCCTGAAATTCACTGGGTTTATAAATTGTCCAAGATGTCAAAAATCATTTATTTAACTGTTGTCCTCAAAGGTTTGAACATCGCTTGTGGAAACCTTTTCCAGTACAATCTTTTTTCACTGAAGAAATCGGTAAGTCAAATTTCTGATTATGTATGCTTTTTGTATATACTGTTCAAATAAAATGTAACTTTTAAATTTGCAATTTCTGAAGTCGTTCAAAGACGAAATTATTTTTATGAATTATTATTTATTTATTTTAAAAGTGTATGTTTTTTTAATTTTCTATACAGACAAAGATTCGTTTTTACGAAATGGAATGGAATTTTATGAAATCGTTATACGTAGTTTTATAATATAAAATCATAAAAATAAATTCTTGCATTAACTAATACAGTATTTTTACGACAAACGTGATTCAATTTACTGTAACTTGTGTTTAACAAATGTGTTTTTGTATGTTGCAGGTAACAACGTCAACACAAAAATGGAGAATCTGGCTGAAAATGTTCTACCCCAGATTGACGTAAATGATAGCGACTTCGTTTACGTTAATTCTGAAGATGTGAGGGAGGTGGCTGACGTCAATAACAGGGCGTACACATGCTACGCATGTGACGGTATGTGCACCTTCCGAACTGATGGGTTGGACGACATTTCAGCAAATTTTCTCCACGTCCTCTTCCACATGGACGAGAGGATATTGAAGACGATAGATGCTGGACTTGGAGGAAACGATCACAGGCATATTAAACCCCCGACGGAGACGCAACCCAGGATGCACACTGGACGGCATAAAGGACTGGCGTCCACGTCGGGCGTCAAAAAAGACAGATATATGCATTTCTGTGCAGTGTGCCAAAAAGGTTTCAAAGACCGGTATGCCCTGAAGGTTCACTTCAGGATACATACCGGTGAGAAACCGTTCGTCTGTGAAATATGCGCACGTGGGTTTTCTCAAAAAGCCCACCTATTAAAACACAAGGAAATCCACGTGCGACGATAAATTTTAAATTTGTATATATATTTTTTTAATTGACAAATATATGTAATATATACATTGATATGTTTTAAAAATAAATTATTAAGCAAATATAAAGTTGTATTACTATTTTCACGATCTTCCTTCCTCTCGCAAAATAATTTTAACATGTTTTAATTATCTGACAATAAATATTTCATAAATACTATACACCGTTGAAAATTGCAGAGTTAATGCCAACAAGGATCGAAGCTTAAATGATTAATTTTAATTATTAGCAATTTAAGCATAGATAAAACAATGTTACTGATCCATTTATTCAATAACTTTACCTATTTAATATCATTTTGTTATTATTAAGAAAACAATAATGTGCAGTGGATTTCACATTTTACTGAATAACAAAATTTTATGAACTGATGCAATTCGTTTATTAATTAATTTCAAAAAAAGTTTGTCTTTTTTATTCTAACTGCGCAGAAAAATGGATTCGTAGAAGGTTTGAATTTTTTTTTAAATTTCAGACACTTGTTAAACCCTGTCTACCTGTATTATCTTCATCCTTTCCTGGTCATTGAACGAAAAAATGACCAACTTTATACATATTTCGCATAAGAAATAAGCGAGCGTGGATTTTCACAGAAAGCTCACTTATTAAAACAGAAGGAAATACACTTGCGACGATGAATGTAAATTCTAGATTTGTACATGTTTAATTAAAAAATATATTTTTTGAAATGACTTGTATATATGATATATTTAACGATGTATTTTTAAAAATAAATTGTTAAGCATAAATTGTATTAACATGCTCGAAAAAATAGCCACCTTTAGAAATGTATATTTTCTCAGCCTATTAAATCATAGACCTGAGTTTGGTCTAATTTTTATAAAATTTCACGCTGAAGAAGATAGCTTTTTCTTGCATTTGCATGCAATTTTCTTTCGATTATTAATTAATTTGAAAAAATATGTTTTTTTTTTAATTCTGCTCAGGAAAATCGATTCGTAGAAAGTATGAATTTTTTTTAAATTTCAAACACTTGTCGAACCCTTCTACTTTTATTACCTTCATTCTTTCCTGAACCTTTGTGAACCTGTGACGAAAATTAAGTTTTTACTGTATTGTTTTTTATGTTTTTAAGTATTAAATTTACTAATTTTTATGCGAATTAAAAATGGTAGATGTTATTCTATTATGAAAATATATTGGGAAATTATTTATAAAAAATGCCGTTAATGCTTATATATTTGTTTATTCGGAAATGAATTTTACGTTAGGAGAATCTGGCCGATCAGATAGATGAATTTATTCGCAACTAAACTAAATGTGGATCGTCTTTTACACGTTGTAATTGTTCTTATATTTAATTATTTTGGGATACAGTTTTATGGAACCCCACTAAAAAAATAATAATAATAATAATCAATTGAATTGCTGTTTTACTTTTATTTCAACTTTTTGCAAGATTCGAAACTAGTCTAAATATGTAAATTTAAACTTTTCCAATTTTAATTTCTATATGTAATATTCAACTTTTCTACCTTAACGTAATATTTCCCATTTATTATTCAACTTTTTCCACTTTATTTTTGAAAATTTTCTATATAATGTAAATTACTATAAATCATTAGGGTGTATCACATTCTATAGTCCACTCATTTATTCGGACAAGGTTCACTTTAGCATAAAATGGTCTTATACAAACCCCCAATTAATTTTAGGTACGAATCTTGCGGTGGTAACATATTTAACATAACTTTCTGAACTAGCTGGGAAATGACGCTTACATTGTTATTTTAAATTTCTCGGCACATGTTTGTATGTATGTACGTACATGTTCGGATTTGAGCCTATGTAAATCCAAATCCAATCCAAATCCGAGTACTTTATTTTTGGCTTTTTGATTTTTTGTGCATGACCCTGTTCCTTCTTGCCTCCTGGATCTGTCGGAATACCAAGAATCTATTCCCTTTCTTTTTCCAAATTCCACTCGACACTTTCCAACCTGGGAAATTCTGTTTTTCATTCCTCCAATCGCCTTTGGAGTGTGAGGTGATCCAGGCCATTTTTAAAGGCTTAAAGGAGGGAAGTGTTGTTGTACCCACAGTAATTTGAAGAATTCACAATTGATCTTTCTTGTAAACGAAATTTTATAACAAGTCGTGATGCCACCCCAACCTTCCTAGAACCACGCCAAAAAAAGCCCCATCTCTGAAATATTATTTTTCCTCTTGAAGGCTTATTAAAGTTGCCAGAAGGGAAGATTTGTGGATGGGGTCGACCCGGTAGGCGTGGTTGATTAAAACCCAGGGCGGTTTCGAGAGGGAGGAGGGTTGCCTCCGGATCCAACCCCTTCCTATTTTACGGGACATTGGCCCCTAACCGGGAGGGTGGCTCCCCCGATACACTCTCTTTATATATCCCCCTATTAAATTCCATATTTTTATTGTACAGTTTGATTATAGAGCTTATTATATGTCATTCATAATGAAAAGAAAGTTTTTGATAGCGTGAGTAAGGTATGCTTAACAGAATGGCCCACCCCGTTTAATTCGAATACGATTTGCATTAGCAAGTTAATTTAGGATAGGAATCGTCTCACAATAGGGTAGGGGTCGTGGGGTTGCTTTTACTCTTAGGTTAGAATACTTTTTGCAAAAAAAGTTGTTTTTTTATCATCATAGATCCCAATTTATTTTTAAAATGACTCTCAGGTGTTATTACGTATAGTTGCAAGTTTGATCATTTATTAATAAATGCTAGAAAACGCTCCCTGCGTTTATCCGCAGTTCTGCTCATTTCATGAATTCTTCATTCGTGGCATTTTCCATTACTTCCTGGAGGATTTCTCTTCAAACCACAAGAATCCGTTGTTCCAATTCTTGGACAATCAATTCTCGTTATGGATTGGCATTCACTCGATTCCTCAATGCCCACCTAAAAGAATAATCCAAGAGGGCCAAATCTGGCGACCTAGGAGGAAATTGAACCTTAAGTGCTCATCCATCTCGCGTTTGTTGAGAGCGAGGCATCCTCCATGTTGGACCTACATAATTCGCTGATGTATAGCGGAATTCTTTCCATGAGAACAGCGAAGGTATTTTTTATAAAAGAATGATACCGTTCCACGTTGAATTTTCCACTAAAAAATGTTGTCTAATGAGCTGGTGGCAGAGCAATTCGCACCAAACAACGTCCAATTTTCTATTTGATAATGCGGTTGTATATTCCGATTCTGTTGCTCAGAAAACACTGTTAGTACATTTAAGAATTTGTTTTCGTCAGTCCACAATATTCGGTCAGCAGGTCCGATGGCCATTTCATCGAGGATTTAAGAAATAAAATCCAAACTCCTTTTGGACCACCCTCGCAAATGCCTTGTGAAAGATGCGCACGATAAGGACAAAAATTGTACTTTCAATATTCGCCATACCTACTGAGCCTTCCTTTCTTCGCTGCCTAGCATCAACGAAAGCAACAAACAAATCTCTCTTCTCGGCGTTTTTATAGATTTTTGTTTGGAAAGCAGAACATGAAATGAATACTCAGGATTACATTATTGGGCGAGATATCCAAATGATTTCAAGAGGATTAACATCGAGAAAACAAGAAAAACGAAAAACAAAAGTTTTCTTAATATTACAATGTAGTTCCTTCTCTGGACGAAATAATTTTACGCATTTTATTTAAGCTGAAAGTAAATATCTAGAAGAATCGTTGAAAGAAAGAAATACATTACAATTTCGTTTAGAATAACTTTTTTCCTATATTTGATACTTGTTACTGTCTTGTATGTGGTTAGGAAATGTCCGTTATACAAGATAAACTTCCATGAAAGGATTAACGCCATTTACTTGCTGTTATTGGGGTCCCAATAATCGAAGATCTAACTTTTTAAAATGTTCAAAATAAATATATTTCCATCAAACATAAAAATTTTAATTTTATTCACAATTTTCATGGAAATATGATTTGTTATATTTACTATCTGTTGATGTGGTTATGTTTGCTACGTCGTTTGGGGAGGGCGTTTCGGAAGGCCAGGTATGAGGCACCCCATTTTTGGATTAACGCCACTTATTCTCCATTGTTCCTTTGCGAAAGAATGGAGGCTCTTTCTTGTTATTCTACTAGTTGGAATATCTATACCTCCAGCCAATATGGAAGAGTTGAAATAAACTTGATATCTCATTAAACGCTCTAATACAAAAATAGAATAAAATAAAATTAAAATAAATAAAAAATAAAAAATTTGATGTTTGTTATCCGAATTAAAATTGAAATATATTTTTCTCTTATAAAAATAAACTGGTCAGTTATTAATAAAATGAACAACGAATCAACTTTTCACATTTGCCTGAAAACCGAAGTGGATTTATTCAGAAAGCTCAGCTTTTGAACCATAAGGAAATCAACATTTTACGATGATTTAATTCTAAATTTTTTAAGATTTTAATTAAACTATGTATTTTTTTGTATTTAAATGAGGCATATATGTGATGTATTTATCGATGTTTTTTAAAAATAATTTGTTAATCATAAATAAATCACTTCCTCTCCCTCCAAGCAGAGACCTTACGTTAATATTTGATATTTTTGTTCAATATTCTTGTAATTCTCCCTTCTGGCCTGCCTTACTGCTATACATTGAGCCAAGGTTTCTATCTCATTTTACTTTTAATTTTATAGAAGGAACTTCCTTTATTTATTTCATGTATATTATTCTTAGGGGACACCAGTCCCAGAATAAAGTCATTTTTCTTCTTCTTCTTCTTTTTCTTAAATTTTTATGAATATTTTAACGTCCTTCCTTCCTCTGGCTAAATAAATTTAACACGTTTCGTAAATAATTATACACTGTTGAAAATTGTAGCACTAATACCATCAAGGTTCGAAGGTTAAATGATTAATTTTAATTATTAGCAATTTAAGCATAGATAAAGTTGGATCAATGTTACGGGTCAGTTTATTTAATAACTTTACCTATTTCAGGTTCAGTTATTTCAAATAAAATATTATTTTATTTTTTGGATTATTATAAACGGATATTAAATTTATGTATACATCTTGATTGATCTTAACTCCAATGGACAACATATGAGGCGCTTCTGATTATTTTAACTAACGGCGAATACGAGATTTTTATTTGCAAGCAGTATCGATACTCCGGTTTTACGATCTGGTCTATCGTTTCTAAAAAAATTATATCCCGAAACGAATAGTCAATGACAGGCTTAAACCATGTTTCGGAAATTGCCATCGCTTATGATTTATTCGAGCTTAGACATGCATCTAGATGGCCTTTATTAGCAACCAGTGATCTCGCACTCCATTGAAATATTGTTAATCGATTTTTCATTCTTAAAGATTGGTAATATGATCACGTTTTCTTCTACAAGTTTTTTTTAAGTTGAAGTTTTCTCCTAGATTTGTAGTATAATCTGTTATTGGTATGGTATGGTATGGTAGAAAAGGATATTAGGAAGCGGGGTTTGCACTCCCGAGGCACTGCAGCCTTCTGGCTTGTTGTACCTTCCTAGTTCCTTGGTTCAGTCAATAGACTCAATCCTTCTTTTTAGAAGTATCAGGTCATTGATTGGTGCTGCTGCAATTTGTTTCCCTAAGTTTTTCCGTACATAAGGTTAAACCTCCATTGAGCTGTTGCTTCGAATTCGAAGACGATATCAGCGGCTGTTTCTTCCTCCTCTTGCATAATCTGCAAATGGGATCATCGCTGTATACACCGATGTTGTGTAGATGTTTTCTCAGATACCAGTTCGTAGTCCTACCCCCTGATAACACATATCGACCCATATCTAGGAATCATCATGTTACCACACACAGCTGAACTACATCACGAGAAAAATTTGTAAGTCGTATTACTAATTTTATAGTGGAATATACAATACTACGGATGGGTTTATCAAAAATTGCAAAATATATGATCGGATCTATGATTGTGCAATAAAGACAAAAAAGTTTTTCAGATAAATAAAGATATAGTTGTTATAGAATGTGACGGGGTTCAAAGACCAACCCCGCTTCCAAGCAGTGAACCCCGGAAAACGTTCGTCACCGTCCTGACGGGGGGGATTCACATTGATCCCCACGGCATGGTACGGTGCGAAAAGGCTAAAGGGGCTCTGGTGTCCCATCCCCAAGTGAGGTATTCACTTTCCTAACCATTCCTCACTAATTAAGCTCCTGCCACCAACTCCTCTCCCTCTATCCTATCACCTTCCCCCTTAGAGAGTCTTGGGCTTGACAGAAAACAGCATCCGCCCCAATCAAAGGAGTCATGCGTTCCGTGCCGAGTGATTCACTGGCAGCCGGGGTTTATGTGGCTGTCTTGAACGGATTCTCTCTGACACCGGGCGACATCAGAGAGTGATTAGCCTTACTCCATCATGCGGGGCTCTGATGGAGCGGACCTTATAGTTCCCTAGCTACTCGTGGGAATCAGATGAGTAAAGAAAACACAAAACAAAACCTAGAGCAGGATGTCACTGCTCAAAACACAACAAGTAATCTGGGAATTAACCCCCAGATGGACACTCAGTCCTCAGAAACAAAGGAGAGACCACCACTCCTTTCCAAAAATAAATTCCAGTCGCTACGTGGGAAATCCAACACCACACAACCGAAGGGTTCACTACCTTCAAGTAGCGACACTAGAAGATACAGACCTCCTCTTGGGAAACCAAAAGGAAAGAAAAAAGTCTCCGCCGAACTACCAAAGCTGGGAGAACCAGGCGGGAAAGACGACCCTCTCAGGAAAGGTCTTAGCGGAGCTATGACGAAATGGTACCTGAGGGCCATAAAATCAGGGAAAACACCCGAAGAAGCAATGAAATTAGCCGATGAAAGGAAGGCTAAAATCCAGAAAGAAAAACTGGAGGCACCATCATCCAGTAAGAGGGCAAGTGAGCAATCTCTTACCCCTAAAGAACTGAGGAAAGAAAAGAAAGCAAAGCCTTCCACTCCCCAGGCGCAGTTCAAAGCCAGGGAGGCTGCTTCCAGTGTTAGTTACGCTGGAGCAGCAAAGATTATAAGAGTGGCTTTGCTACCAGAGGAATACCCCCTGGTAACCTTAACGACAGAAGAGTTGACCCACCTAGAGGAGACCCCTCATAGAAGAAATTCTAAAAGGATGGGAAGCTAAAATACAGTTTGAAGGCATACACTTCAGGCCAGGAATGATGGTCCTAGACTGTCAAGATGGCAAAACTGTACAATGGCTACAGGAAATAGCTCCCAAACTGGAGCTAAACAAAGAAAAGAAACTAACAGTGAGGGTTGGGGAGGATGTTCCCAAACCTCACTCGATAGCAGTGTTCTTCCCTAGGACAAAACTAGGAGAAGAACAGAGAACCTTAGCGCTGGTGAAAGCGCAGAATGATGGAATCTGCGCTGAGGAATGGAAAGTCCACTCAGTGAAAGCGGAGGGGCCTGGGATTGTCATGATCCTGGGCATCGACGACATCTCAGCAAAAACGATAATGTCAAGAGGACATACCCTCAACTTTCGTTTCGGAAGGATCCCTGTTAGGGGCCTGAAAAAGGGAGGGGGGGAGGAGGATACAAAACGAGAGAAATCTCACACCTCCACCCCAATCACCCCCCCATCCATTCAAACGGAGCAGGCCCCTACAGCGACGCCTCCACCCACGGAGATTACCTCCGAAAATACTGCTGAGATGGAGGTAGACCAGATCATCACAGAGACCGGGACTCCTCCTCCTCTACAGATGGAGCCAAGAGTGCTCACTGAGGAGGAGCTATTGGGAGAGGAGACACCTCNACACCAACACACTTACTAACAAACTGCGGAGCTACACTAGCCCGCAGGAGGAAGTGTTTTGGGATGTACAATGTGACCATAGAAGAACTACAACCACTGAAACCGGGCCTATTAATCAAGTTTCTTGATGAAATAGGACTCACCGATGTGCTTTAGGCAGAGCACAGGGGATACAATAGCTCTTAAAGGGCGCAGTATACCATACCCTGAATCATTATATCTATCTATCTATCTATCTATAGAATGTGACAAAACCAAACTGTTATTTGATTGTTTATTTGTTTTAGAAAAAATTTACAAATGTAATTATACAAAAGAAAAACTAGAGTTAAAAATAAATTTGATTTTTTTTTTAAATAACTATTGTTATGTATCAAACCTTGGGTGGCCAAATTGATATAAACCGCTGTTCGCGCCAAAAATCGCGAATTATAATTGTTTATTTGTTTCCGAAATGCCGCTAATCTAGAATTTATCCTAGCTCTGTTCCCTCCCCATAATCCGTTCCTGTTGCTGCCTAATCCTGCTCTAGTCCTGTTCGCTTCCGTCTCGCTTCCATACAGTCCACTGTTAATTAGCCTCCAAGAGTGATTTTCTTTTAGTTTTCTTTCAGTTTTTCTCTTATTTTCAAGAAGCATTTTTTTCTTTCGTTTTGTTAATTATCGCGTTCAAAATAACGCGAGTATTTCCTCCCGCATCCTTAATGCGACACATCATACAGGGTTCGGACGGAGCCCCGAAAGTAATTAATAGAATAGGATTCTGTTTTATCTTTGGCCAGAGTTATTGCAGGTTCTAGCTATTAAACGGCTCTCCTCCCTGGTTGTCGAGAAAATCTAGCCACAGTTAACAAGTTAGTATTTTAATTTATTTTGTACTTTATTTTATTTTGTATTTTTATTTTATTTAACCAAATTTTATTGAGACCGACCAGCGCGTGCACAACCGCCATTATTGTACCTAGATTTCTATTCGCAGCCCTAGTATGGTGGAAAGGGCTAGAAAATAAAGGTAATATTAACAAATTAAGGTCATTTCAAAGACTAGATTGTTTGATGATGACGGGAGACTTTTCAACTGCACCTTCCCTAGCACTTAGAGATTATAACCAATACTACACCTCTACACATAGAGGCTAAGGTCAGAGCAATAACCTGCTGCTATAGATTAATTAGTGAAGGCAGTTGGAAACATAAGGGAAACAACATAGGCCACTCGAAAATTCTACAATTATTGAGTAAGGTCAACGGCCGACTATTAAGCGTTACCGATAAGAAAGGTTAAAACCCCTTCAGGGAAAAAATACTTCCAGGTAGTTACTCCGCGTAAATATAACTACAGCGCGGATGATGACCATCGTAACATAGACTGTTTAACCGATGGTTCACTTATTAAAGGCAAGGGAAGCGGTGCTGGATTACATATACCTAAATTAGGGATCAGCATCTCCTTCCCTCTTGGTAATAAACCTCCGTTTTTCAGGAGGAAATATGGGCCATTAATGTTTGCTGCAGAACACTTATGGATAATAAAATCCAGGGAAAAGATATTAGAATTTTTCCGACAGTCAGGCCAGTCTTAGGTCATTACAAAAAGAGTTACCAAATCTAGGCTGGTGGAGGAAACTGTTGATCTTATAGGATCACTTCTATGTATGAGAATAGGGTAACCTTCATTTGGATACCAGCACATAAAGGACACTATGGCAATGAAGGCGGATAGCCTGGCCAAACAAGGCTCAAATACTGCGTTTGTCGGGGCACAACCAGTACTACCCCACTATATAAACACAGCGAAAGAGGGTATTAATAGCTGGGGCATGAAACAATTATTTAAATAATGGAATCTGTCCCCCGGACATAGGCAATCGAAGGAGTTTGTGAAGGAGATCAAACCAAAAGAATCGAAATGGCTATTCTCTAACTCAAGGACGGGAATTAGGAGGCTCATAGGTATCCTGAAGGGCCATTGCCCTGAGAAGACACCGCTTCGTAATGGGTATTTGACCCTTCTGCCGTTTTTGTGAAATAAAAGAAAAAACGGCACGGCACTACCTCGCACAATATGATAGGTACGCCAGGTATAGATTCTAAACTTTTGAAGGAGTGGATATTACCAAATCACTCCCCGAGATAAAATGGTCCAAAATCTTGGGGTTTGTGAACAAGTCCAAGAGGTTTATACAGGACAAGTGGACCGACCAAGTCCCGGACCCTTTAGGGATGGGGTACGAGTCTACCCAGGCATTTAACCCCTCGGGTTCTGAAAGAAAATTCTGTAAGGGGGCGAAATTCAGCTGGCAAACGCAACTAATGGAACGATTTTGTAAGATCTAATGAAGAGAAGTACTGTGCCCCACTAATTTATCCATTATTGATTTTATGGTGGCACGTGGTAATTGAAGTATCGAAGAATTTTATTTCGCGCTCAATAGTCTACCACCAATTTATATTCTGGTATTTGGCCTTTTGTTTACCAGAAAACACGGGCTTAGAAACGATGAATATAATTCTTCTATAATTTTTTGGGACTCAACTCTAAAAAAATTTCTTGGGCTATTTTCTTTTGTGAAGGTTAATCCTGGAATGACCAACTTGTCAAACATACAAGATAATTTCACTATTTTTAATGTTAAGTGTACCCCTATTTGCGGTCGAACCTTTCATCATTCGCAGACAATAATTTAATGGAAGGATGAAAATATTCTTCTTGTTTATGAACTCCTTACGGTTGAGAGTATCAAATAATTTTGGGAAATTGAAGTTTCAATTCGACAATTTTAGTCGCCTCAGAATCAATAAGGGAATATACAGGCATCTTATTCCATTGGAATAGTCTAGTCTGATTGCTTCAATTTTATCATATTTTTCAATAGGAAACTTACCTAAGAGTACAAAGGTCGTGTAAACAAACAAAAAGTCGATCGGAAACGGGACAACATTGAATACAGTTCATATATATTATACTTATTCATTAAGTTTTTAATCACTGTACATTTACCTCTAGTATCGAATAATTAAGTAAAAGTTAAAACTAACGCAAAATCTAAATTCTCGGGACGAACATTGTAGATTTGCTCAAAATTGGGTAGAATCCGTCGTTGTCCTCCTCGGAGGACACCTCCAATTCATTGGCCATGTTCACGACCACAGACTTCAATTTTGGTAATATTTATTTAAATTATGTATAAAAACTGACAAAAGTAAATACAATATACGCTTAATAATAATCTGCGTTTACTTTCATTACTAGAGTGCATCTGTTATTCGTATTGATAAATAAAATGTTCAGATTTTTTTCATGTTTATAAATCTTGTATTTATTATAGAAAAATTTCTAAATTTATAGAAAATATGTTTCATATATCTTAGAAAAACCGCCGGATTGGGAAAATACGTTGGAAGAAAAAACGCTAATCCGCGGTGTTGCCCAACGGAAGTGGTGTTCCAGGTAATGGGATGAAAATTGACATGCTCCCTGGAAAAATACCAAAATTCCCCGGCTTTATCAATTTTCCACGATGACAGGAAGCGTTCCATTAAACTATTTTCCTCAATGGGTTGAACATGGTTTGTGGAAACTTTTTCCAGTGCTGTCTTCACGGAAGAAATCGGTAAGTCAAATTTCTGAATATGTATGCTTTTTGTATATACTATTCAAATGAAATGTAACTTTTATATTTGCGATTTCTGAAGTCGTTCAAAGACGAAATTATTTTTATGGATTATTATTTATTTATTTTAAAACTGTATTTTTTTGTAAATTTTCTATGCAGACATAGATTCGTTTGTACGAAATGGAACGGAATTTTAACAAATCCTTATACTTAGTTTTATAATATAAAATCATAAAAATAAATTCTTGCATTAACTAATAGATTATTTTTACGACAAACGTGTTTCAATTTACTGTAACTTGTGTTTAACAAATGTGTTTTTGTATGTTGCAGGTAACAAAGTCAATAAAAAAATGGAGAATCTGGCTGACCATGTTTTAACTCAGATTGACGTTTCGGACATCGACTTCGTTTTCGATAATTATGAAGAAACGAGGCACGTGGCTGACGTCGATCATAGCGCGTACATTTTCTACGGTACGTGCACGTTCCGGTCATCTACTTTTGACGGATTGGACGACAGTTCAGTCCATTTCCTCCACATCCTCTACCATATGGACGAGAGGATATTGAAGAAGATAGATGCTGGTCTTGGAGGAAATGAAATCAGGCATATTAAACCCCCGTCGGAGACCCAACCCAGGATGCACACTGGACGGCATAAAGGACTGGCTTCAACATCATGAGTCAGCAAATACAGGCATATGCACTTACGTGCAATATGTCGCAAGGGCTTTAAAGAACGGTATGCCCTGAAGGAGCAACATTTGAGGATACATACCGGTGAGAAACCGTTCCTTTGCGAAATATGCGAGCGTGGGTTTTCACAGAAAGCCCACCTTTTAAAACACAAAGAAATCCACTTGCGACGATGAAGTAATTCTGAATTAGTATGTTTTTTTTTGTTTTTTTTTTTTAATGACTAACATGTAGATTGATGTTTTTTTAAATAAATTGTTAAGTATATATAAAGTTTTATTAATATTTCCTTCCTCTGATAAAATAAATTTAACACGGTTTACTTATCTGACAATAAATATTTTAGTTTTACCTTAAAATTTTGGTGAGCTACTTCAACTTCGATTTCTGATTCGTAACAGTTTAGTAATTCTGGTGCATAGATTACGCCTTTTAAGTAATTTAACGTTTTATGCAAAGTGAATTTAATTGGTCTATTCTCATAAATTTTCATACGGTTCAAATTCAAAAAGTTTTTTTTACTGGTGATATTAAGAAGAATTTCTTTCATTTTTTAGGAATTTAATAGTCACTAGCGGGCAAAAACNTTGATCTAATTTTATTTATAATAATTTTAGAAGATCAAAAGTGCCTGCATGTAGTTACAAAGATTTAATATCGGCAATGAAATCTGGCATGAATCACATCAGCTACTCTAAATTCCTATGTAATGTAAGACGATTACAGATCAATTCAAACAAACATTTTTTTCTTACCATTTCTCTATGTAAGTAAGGAAGTATAGAAACTTTTCCTGAAAAAAAATACCGCAGGAAATTACAACTAAGTTATTTCCTTATCCTATAAAAACCATTTTAAAATAACACATTTAATTCATTTACATTGTTTCCACTGAATAGCCAGCTTTGTAGAGTGAAGTAGAAGAAACATTTCTTCATATATTGACAGTATATAATCTTTAGGTCTAGGGCTTTTTTATATGAAAAAATGATTTTAACAAAAATAATTGTAATATTATGGGTTGACTATTCAGTTTTATTCGTTCCAATAAATCAGAATATTTTACAATTAAAAGAATAATATTTACTTATTTATTTAAGTGGTATTCATTACATTAAAATTAGTTATACTACAAATTTATGTAACACTTCTTTCTGATTTTCTTGAAAAACCGTTGCAACCTGAAGTTAAATTGAATGCACCCTAATCCGTGGTGTTGGCACTGATTGGGTGATTGATGTAAAGCCATTTTTCCAGGGGGCGTGTCAATTTTAATCCCTCTACCTGGAACATCCCTTCCGTTGGACAACACCACAGATTGCACTCTTTTCATTCAACTTAATTTTTCACTGCAAAATTTTTCTAGGAATTGGCAAGTGTTTACTTAAGTATTGAAATTTTATTCGAACGATTAAGAGATTTGTTAATGATAATAGGCTTAAACTTAGACAATATGAACATGCAAAAAAAAAACGATTTTAAAAACTCCAAGGAAACCTATATTATTATATTTAAATGTAATATTACATATCTTAATATAATGTATTGTATATTCATTCTTGCATATATTTTTTAGAATAATTCAAATAATTCCAAAGTGAAGTTTATTGTGTTGAAGGCGGCAAAAAATTATGTCGGTCATGCAAATAGATTCTACAATTATTTAAAATATCAAATGGCTATGAATTTGAGAAAAAGGGTTTAAGTAAATTGATATATAGATGATTATAGAAAAATTTCAAAATTTAAGTGAAATATGTTTCAGATATCCTAGAGAAACCTTCGGAATAGGAAAATACTCTGGAAGAAAAGACGCTAAGCCGCGGTGTTGCCCAACGGAAGGGGTGTTCCAGGTAGGGGGATGAAAATTGACACGCCCCCTGGAAAAATCCTGAAATTCACTGGGTTTATAAATTGTCCACGATGTCAAAAATCATTTATTTAACTGTTGTCCTCAAAGGTTTGAACATCGCTTGTGGAAACCTTTTCCAGTACAATCTTTTTTCACTGAAGAAATCGGTAAGTCAAATTTCTGATTATGTATGCTTTTTGTATATACTGTTCAAATAAAATGTAACTTTTATATTTGCAATTTCTAGAGACGTTCAAAGACGAAATTATTTTTATGAATTATTATTTATTTATTTTAAAAGTGTATGTTTTTTTAATTTTCTATACAGACAAAGATTCGTTTTTACGAAATGGAATGGAATTTTATGAAATCGTTATACGTAGTTTTATAATATAAAATCATAAAAATAAATTCTTGCATTAACTAATACAGTATTTTTACGACAAACGTGATTCAATTTACTGTAACTTGTGTTTAACAAATGTGTTTTTGTATGTTGCAGGTAACAACGTCAACACAAAAATGGAGAATCTGGCTGAAAATGTTCTACCCCAGATTGACGTAAATGATAGCGACTTCGTTTACGTTAATTCTGAAGATGTGAGGGAGGTGGCTGACGTCAATAACAGGGCGTACACATGCTACGCATGTGACGGTATGTGCACCTTCCGAACTGATGGGTTGGACGACATTTCAGCAAATTTTCTCCACGTCCTCTTCCACATGGACGAGAGGATATTGAAGACGATAGATGCTGGACTTGGAGGAAACGATCACAGGCATATTAAACCCCCGACGGAGACGCAACCCAGGATGCACACTGGACGGCATAAAGGACTGGCGTCCACGTCGGGCGTCAAAAAAGACAGATATATGCATTTCTGTGCAGTGTGCCAAAAAGGTTTCAAAGACCGGTATGCCCTGAAGGTTCACTTCAGGATACATACCGGTGAGAAACCGTTCGTCTGTGAAATATGCGCACGTGGGTTTTCTCAAAAAGCCCACCTATTAAAACACAAGGAAATCCACGTGCGACGATAAATTTTAAATTTGTATATATATTTTTTTAATTGACAAATATATGTAATATATACATTGATATGTTTTAAAAATAAATTATTAAGCAAATATAAAGTTGTATTACTATTTTCACGATCTTCCTTCCTCTCGCAAAATAATTTTAACATGTTTTAATTATCTGACAATAAATATTTCATAAATACTATACACCGTTGAAAATTGCAGAGTTAATGCCAACAAGGATCGAAGCTTAAATGATTAATTTTAATTATTAGCAATTTAAGCATAGATAAAACAATGTTACTGATCCATTTATTCAATAACTTTACCTATTTAATATCATTTTGTTATTATTAAGAAAACAATAATGTGCAGTGGATTTCACATTTTACTGAATAACAAAATTTTATGAACTGATGCAATTCGTTTATTAATTAATTTCAAAAAAAGTTTGTCTTTTTTATTCTAACTGCGCAGAAAAATGGATTCGTAGAAGGTTTGAATTTTTTTTTAAATTTCAGACACTTGTTAAACCCTGTCTACCTGTATTATCTTCATCCTTTCCTGGTCATTGAACGAAAAAATGACCAACTTTATACATATTTCGCATAAGAAATAAGCGAGCGTGGATTTTCACAGAAAGCTCACTTATTAAAACAGAAGGAAATACACTTGCGACGATGAATGTAAATTCTAGATTTGTACATGTTTAATTAAAAAATATATTTTTTGAAATGACTTGTATATATGATATATTTAACGATGTATTTTTAAAAATAAATTGTTAAGCATAAATTGTATTAACATGCTCGAAAAAATAGCCACCTTTAGAAATGTATATTTTCTCAGCCTATTAAATCATAGACCTGAGTTTGGTCTAATTTTTATAAAATTTCACGCTGAAGAAGATAGCTTTTTCTTGCATTTGCATGCAATTTTCTTTCGATTATTAATTAATTTGAAAAAATATGTTTTTTTTTTAATTCTGCTCAGGAAAATCGATTCGTAGAAAGTATGAATTTTTTTTAAATTTCAAACACTTGTCGAACCCTTCTACTTTTATTACCTTCATTCTTTCCTGAACCTTTGTGAACCTGTGACGAAAATTAAGTTTTTACTGTATTGTTTTTTATGTTTTTAAGTATTAAATTTACTAATTTTTATGCGAATTAAAAATGGTAGATGTTATTCTATTATGAAAATATATTGGGAAATTATTTATAAAAAATGCCGTTAATGCTTATATATTTGTTTATTCGGAAATGAATTTTACGTTAGGAGAATCTGGCCGATCAGATAGATGAATTTATTCGCAACTAAACTAAATGTGGATCGTCTTTTACACGTTGTAATTGTTCTTATATTTAATTATTTTGGGATACAGTTTTATGGAACCCCACTAAAAAAATAATAATAATAATAATCAATTGAATTGCTGTTTTACTTTTATTTCAACTTTTTGCAAGATTCGAAACTAGTCTAAATATGTAAATTTAAACTTTTCCAATTTTAATTTCTATATGTAATATTCAACTTTTCTACCTTAACGTAATATTTCCCATTTATTATTCAACTTTTTCCACTTTATTTTTGAAAATTTTCTATATAATGTAAATTACTATAAATCATTAGGGTGTATCACATTCTATAGTCCACTCATTTATTCGGACAAGGTTCACTTTAGCATAAAATGGTCTTACACAAACCCCCAATTAATTTTAGGTACGAATCATGCGGTGGTAATATATTTAACATAACTTTCTGAACTAGCTGGGAAATGACGCTTACATTGTTATTTTATATAAGAATTCCATATTTTTATTGTACAGTTTGATTATAGAGCATATTATATGCCATTTATAATGAAATGAAAGTTTTGATAGCGTGAGTAAGGTATGCTTAACAGAATGGCCCACCCCGTTTAATTCGAATACGATTTGCATTAGCAAGTTAATTTAGGATAGGAATCGTCTCACAATAGGGTAGGGGTCGTGGGGTTGCTTTTACTCTTAGGTTAGAATACTTTTTGCAAAAAAAGTTGTTTTTTTATCATCATAGATCCCAATTTATTTTTAAAATGACTCTCAGGTGTTATTACGTATAGTTGCAAGTTTGATCATTTATTAATAAATGCTAGAAAACGCTCCCTGCGTTTATCCGCAGTTCTGCTCATTTCATGAATTCTTCATTCGTGGCATTTTCCATTACTTCCTGGAGGATTTCTCTTCAAACCACAAGAATCCGTTGTTCCAATTCTTGGACAATCAATTCTCGTTATGGATTGGCATTCACTCGATTCCTCAATGCCCACCTAAAAGAATAATCCAAGAGGGCCAAATCTGGCGACCTAGGAGGAAATTGAACCTTAAGTGCTCATCCATCTCGCGTTTGTTGAGAGCGAGGCATCCTCCATGTTGGACCTACATAATTCGCTGATGTATAGCGGAATTCTTTCCATGAGAACAGCGAAGGTATTTTTTATAAAAGAATGATACCGTTCCACGTTGAATTTTCCACTAAAAAATGTTGTCTAATGAGCTGGTGGCAGAGCAATTCGCACCAAACAACGTCCAATTTTCTATTTGATAATGCGGTTGTATATTCCGATTCTGTTGCTCAGAAAACACTGTTAGTACATTTAAGAATTTGTTTTCGTCAGTCCACAATATTCGGTCAGCAGGTCCGATGGCCATTTCATCGAGGATTTAAGAAATAAAATCCAAACTCCTTTTGGACCACCCTCGCAAATGCCTTGTGAAAGATGCGCACGATAAGGACAAAAATTGTACTTTCAATATTCGCCATACCTACTGAGCCTTCCTTTCTTCGCTGCCTAGCATCAACGAAAGCAACAAACAAATCTCTCTTCTCGGCGTTTTTATAGATTTTTGTTTGGAAAGCAGAACATGAAATGAATACTCAGGATTACATTATTGGGCGAGATATCCAAATGATTTCAAGAGGATTAACATCGAGAAAACAAGAAAAACGAAAAACAAAAGTTTTCTTAATATTACAATGTAGTTCCTTCTCTGGACGAAATAATTTTACGCATTTTATTTAAGCTGAAAGTAAATATCTAGAAGAATCGTTGAAAGAAAGAAATACATTACAATTTCGTTTAGAATAACTTTTTTCCTATATTTGATACTTGTTACTGTCTTGTATGTGGTTAGGAAATGTCCGTTATACAAGATAAACTTCCATGAAAGGATTAACGCCATTTACTTGCTGTTATTGGGGTCCCAATAATCGAAGATCTAACTTTTTAAAATGTTCAAAATAAATATATTTCCATCAAACATAAAAATTTTAATTTTATTCACAATTTTCATGGAAATATGATTTGTTATATTTACTATCTGTTGATGTGGTTATGTTTGCTACGTCGTTTGGGGAGGGCGTTTCGGAAGGCCAGGTATGAGGCACCCCATTTTTGGATTAACGCCATTTATTCTCCATTGTTCCTTTGCGAAAGAATGGAGGCTCTTTCTTGTTATTCTACTAGTTGGAATATCTATACCTCCAGCCAATATGGAAGAGTTGAAATAAACTTGATATCTCATTAAACGCTCTAATACAAAAATAGAATAAAATAAAATTAAAATAAATAAAAAATAAAAAATTTGATGTTTGTTATCCGAATTAAAATTGAAATATATTTTTCTCTTATAAAAATAAACTGGTCAGTTATTAATAAAATGAACAACGAATCAACTTTTCACATTTGCCTGAAAACCGAAGTGGATTTATTCAGAAAGCTCAGCTTTTGAACCATAAGGAAATCAACATTTTACGATGATTTAATTCTAAATTTTTTAAGATTTTAATTAAACTATGTATTTTTTTGTATTTAAATGAGGCATATATGTGATGTATTTATCGATGTTTTTTAAAAATAATTTGTTAATCATAAATAAATCACTTCCTCTCCCTCCAAGCAGAGACCTTACGTTAATATTTGATATTTTTGTTCAATATTCTTGTAATTCTCCCTTCTGGCCTGCCTTACTCCTATTCATTGAGCCAAGATTTCTATCTCATTTTATTTTTAATTTTATAGAAGGAACTTTCTTTATTTATTTCATGTATATTATTCTTAGGGGACACCAGTCCCAGAATAAATCATTTTTCTTCTTCTTTTTCTTAAATTTGTATTAATATTTTAACGTCCTTCCTTCCTCTGGCTAAATAAATTTAACACGTTTCGTAAATAATTATACACTGTTGAAAATTGTAGCACTAATACCATCAAGGTTCGAAGGTTATATGATTAATTTTAATTATTAGCAATTTAAGCAAAGATAAAGTTGGATACGGGTCCGTTTATATAATAACTTTACCTGTTTCAGGTTCAGTTATTTCAAATAAAATTTTATTTTATTTTTTGATAAATGGATATTAAATTTATGTATACAATACATTTTGATTGATCTTGATCTTAACTCCAATGGACTTCTTGCGCGTATATCAGAATATCTTATCTAACGGCGAATATGAGATTTTTATTTGGAAGCAGTATCGATACTCCGGTTTTACGGTCTGGTCTATCGTTTCGGAAAAAATTATATCCCGAAACAAATAGTCAATGACAGGCTTAAACCATGTTTCGGAAATTGCCATCGCTTATAATTTATTCGAGCTTTGATATGCAACTAGATGGCCTTTATTAGCGACCAGTGATCTCACATTCCATTGAAATATTGTTAATATATCTTTCATTCTTAAAGATTGGTAATATGATCACGTTTTCTTTTACAACTTTTTTTTAAGTTGACGTTTTCTCCTAGATTGGTAGTATTATCTGTTATTGGTATGGTATGGTAGAAAAGGATATTAGGAAGCGGGGTTTGCAGCCTTCTGGCCAATTGTACCTTCCTAGTTCTTTGGTTCAGTCAATAGACTCAATCCTTCTTTTTAGAAGTATCAGGTCATTGACTGTTAATGCTGCAATTTGTTTCCCTAAGTTTTTTCTGAACGTTAGGTTAAACGTCCATTGAGCTGTTGCTTCTATTTCGAAGATGATATGAGTGGCTGTTTCTTCCTCCTCTTGCATAATCTGCAAATGGGATCATCGCTGTATACACCCACATATGTTGTGTTGATGTTTTCTCAGATACCAGTGACCGGTTAGTAGTCCTACCCCCTGATAACAGATATCGACCATATCTTGGAATCATCATCTTACCACAAACAGCTGAAATACATTACGAGAAAAATTTTTAAGTCGAATTACTAATTTTATAGTGGAATATACAATACTACGTATGGGTTTATCAAAACTTGCAAAATATATGATCGGATCTATGATTGTACAATGTTCGCTAAGTGGACTGTATATGAATGGGTAAATAAATTTATAATTTATATTAAATTTTAAAGAGTGAATCCGAGGAGGGGATTGGGATACATTTAAGTTTGCACTTACCCCAACGAGTTCAAGCAGCTCGGCCCCAGTCGTCCTCTTCTTTCTTCGAATAGGTAGGGCCCCACAGTCTCCGGCGGATTCAGACGTTTGGTACCGAACTCTTAAGGGACCCGGGCAATTAGAAACCATCAATTGCGCAAAACACTAGTTTAGATAAGCAGGTACGATAACGATGTTCTCGGCTTTGGCTCTAGGCAACAACTAACTCGCCGACCGGCCGGAGACCGCCAGAAGGGTTCAAAAGGGCGATCGGCGTAAACAACAATAAAAGCAAAAATGTTTTTCAGATAAATATAGATATAGTTGTTATAGAATGTGACGAAATCAAACAGTTATTTGATTGTTTATTTGTTTTAGAAAAAAATTACAAATGTAATTATATAAAAGAAAAACTAGGGTTAAAAATAAATTTCAATTTTTTTAAAAAATAACTATTGTTATGTATCAAACCTTGGGTGGCCAAATTGATATAAACCGCCATTATTCTACCTAGATTTCTGTTCGCAGCCCTAGTATGGTGGAAAGGGCTAGAAAATAAAGGGAATATTAACAAATTAAGGTCATTTCAAAGAGTACGTTGTTTTATGATGACGGGAGCATTTTCAACTGCACCTACCCTAGCACTTGAGATTATAACCAATTCATTAAATTCACTAATTTCGTGGTCCACTTGACCAATTAATACTTTACAATTAATTAAGGTTCTTAGTTGAGATGAAAAAAAATTAATAACACGAGAGGGATTCGAACCCACGACCTAGATACGCCGCTGCTCTACCACCTGAGGTATCGTGACCTCGATCCACTCGGACATCAACTCCCCATCTCAACCCCACCTTATGAGTTTTCCCTCCTATTGCCATTTTCCAAATGTCGTGTAATCGGTTTGGATTCTCGACGACAATTGAAATGGCGACGGAGAGATTTAGTGAAGTGTACTTCATTTCAATTCATTAAATTCACTAATTTCGTGGTCCGAGTGGATCGAGGACACGATAGCTCAGGTGGTAGAGCAGCGGCGTATCTAGCCGAAGGTCGTGGGTTCGAAATCCCTCTCGTGCCATTAACTTTTTTTCAAATCAACTAAAAACCTTAATTAATTGTAAATTATGACCAATGCTACAGCTCTACACATAGAGGCTAAGGTCAGAGCACTAACCAGCTGCTATAGATTAATTAGTGAAGGCAGTTGGAAACATAAGGGAAACAACATAGGCCACTCGAAAATTCTACAATTATTGAGTAAGGTCAACGGCCAACTATTAAGCGTTACCGATAAGAAAGGTTAAAACCCCTTCAGGGAAAAAATACTTCCAGGTAGTTACTCCTCGTGAATATAACTAGAGCGCGGATGATGATCATCGTAACATGGACTGTTTCACCGATGGTTCGCCTACTAAGGCAAGGGAAGCGGTGCTGGGATACATATACCTAAATTATGGATCAGCATCTCCTCCCCTCTTGGTAATAACAGCTCCGTTTCTCAGGCGGAAATATGGGCCATTAATGTTTGCTGCAGAACACTTATGGATAATAAAATCAAGGGAAAAGATATTAGAATTTTTCCGACAGTCAGGCCAGTCTTAGGTCATTAAAAAATTAGTTATCAACATCTAGGCTGGTGGAGGAAACTGTTGAAATTATCAATAGGATCACTTCTAGGTATGAGAATAGGGTAACCCTCATTTCGATACCAGCACATAAAGGACACTAGGCAATGAAGAGGCTGATTGCCTGGCCAAAGAAGGCTCAAATACTGCGTTTGTCGGGCCACAACCAGTACTACCCCATTCTATAAGCACAGCGAAAGGGAGTATTAATAGTTGGGGCATGAAACAATTCCTTAAAGAATGGAATCTGTCCCCCGGACATAGGCAATCGAATTTCGAATTCCCCGGCTTTATAAATTTTCCACAATGACAGGAAGCGTTTCATTAAAATATTTTCCTCAAAGGGTTGAACATCGTTTGTGGAAACTTTTTCCAGTGCTGTCTTCACGGAAGAAATCGGAAAGTCAAATTTCTGATTATTCTTCAACATTAAGTTGAACTTTTAGTTCTCACCTTGGTACCTTTCAACCCGACTTCGGTTTTCTTTCTTATGTATGCTCTTTGTATATACATTTCAAATAAAATGTAACTTTTATATATTTAATTTCTGAAGATGTTCAAAATTTTATTTGTTTTAAAATTGTATATATTATTTTTGAATTTGCAATACAGATAAAGGTTGGTTTTCACCAAAGGGAATGGAATTTTATGAGGTAGTTATACTTATTTTTATAATACAGAAACGTCCTACTTATTTTTGTATTAACTAATGGATTATTTTTATGACTTACTTGTTTCAATTTACTGTACCGTGTGTTTAACAAATGTGTTTTTGTATGTTGCAGGTAACAAAGTCAATAAAAAATGGAGAATCTGGCTGACCATGTTTTAGCTCAGATTGACGTTTCGGACAGCGACTTCGTTTTCGATAATTATGAAGAAGGGAGGCAGGCGGCTGACGTCGATCGTAGCGCGTACACTTGCTACGGTACGTGCACGTTCCCGTCATCTACTTTTGACGGATTGGGCGACAGTTCAGTCCATTTTCTCCACATCCACTTCCATATGGATGAACGGATATTGCAAAAGATAGATTCTGGACTTGGAGGAAATGAAATGAGGCATATTAAACCCCGGACGGAGACCCAACCCAGGATGCACACTGGACGGCATAAAGGACTGGCTTCAACGTCATGAGTCAGCAAATACTTATGTGCAATATGTCGCAAAGGCTTTAAAGACCGGTATGCCCTGAAGGTTCATTTCAGGATACATACCGGTGAGAAGCCGTTCCTTTGCGAAATATGCGAGCGTGGGTTTTCACAGAAAGCCCACATTTTAAAACAGAAAGAAATCCCCTTGCGACGATGAAGTAATTCTGAATTTGTATGTTTTTTTAATGACTAATATGTAGATTGATGTTTTTTTAAATAAATTGTTAAGTATATATAAAGTTGTATTAATATTTCCTTCCTCTGATAAAATAAATTTAACACGGTTTACTTATCTGACAATAAATATTTTAGTTTTACCTTAAAATTTTGGTGAGCTACTTCAACTTCGATTTCTGATTCGTAACAGTTTAGTAATTCTGGTGCATAGATTACGCCTTTTAAGTAATTTAACGTTTTATGCAAAGTGAATTTAATTGGTCTATTCTCATAAATTTTCATACGGTTCAAATTCAAAAAGTTTTTTTTACTGGTGATATTAAGAAGAATTTCTTTCATTTTTTAGGAATTTAATAGTCACTAGCGGGCAAAAACCTTTAATGAATTTACAGACTTTGAACGGACTAAAGTCATAATTATTTTTTTATTTGTCTTAGTTTGATTCAGGCTTGTAATAACATATTTTGAACCTGTCCAATTCGGTTTAGATTTCGGCAACACAGAGCTGCTTTTATCAGGAGGTTCAGGTTCAAAGGGCAAAATCAGTGTCTCTGCCAGTGTGGGCCAAATTGTCCGCGCGATTTAAGGTGAGACAAAACCAAACTTTTTTTCAATAAATCAACGAGCATTTAAAATAAAACAGTGTATGCACGATAGAATAGAGTAACAGGTAACGCAATATTCCTCGTCCAAAGGAGGAGGGACGAGTTCGGGCAGTGATCTCAGGAAATAAAGAAACACGATGTCATCCGCACAAGATATAAAAGCGTACTAATTAGATTTATTAAATATGTATTTCATATAAAGTGATCTTTCAGGCTATTTTCAAATATGAATTTTGATGATTAAATGGCATTTATCCTTATCATGAGAGTAACACTGGNCTTCCAAATCAGGCGTAAGTAAAGACAGGTATATGCACTTCTGTACCGTCTGTAATAAAGGTTTTAAAGACCGGTATGCCCTGAAGGTTCATTTCAGGATACATACCGGTGAGAAACCTTTCGTTTGTAATATTTGCGAACGTGGATTTACACAGAAAGCTCACCTTTTGAAGCATATGGAAATCCACGTTCGCCGATGATTGCAATTCTATTTTTTATTCATTTCTTTATTTTATTTTTATTTCTTTTTTTTTATTTGTTTATTTTATTTTTATTTATTTATTTTATTTTTATTTGTTTATTTTATTTTTATTTATTTATTTTATTTTTTAAATTAATTAATTTTTTGTAAATAAAAAAAAAAAATTTTTGGGATACGAATCGGTATTATGCGTCTCAAATAGCCTCTAATACCCAACTCCGACTTTCCACCTTCACGAAGCTTAAGCGGGTGTACCCTGTTGATACAAACGGAAAGAGGGGTATGGAGGTTCAGGAGCTGGACCTGACACCTCCTAAACCCAAATCCCACAACTTACCCACTTCCCACCTTATACCCAAACCCAGCCCCAAATTTCAGCCCAAATCTAAGGTGTTATGCAACCCATGCCGATGGAGAATAGTACAGGGGTAACTGTGCCAATAATGGAGCGTCCAGGGCACCAGGTGAGGCTTTTCTCGGAAAGCCCACACAACGAAATCCACTTGCGAAGATGAAGTAATTCTAAAGTTTTATATGTTTTTTAAAATGACTAATTTATACATTGATGTTTTTTTTAAATAAATCATTAACGCTATATAAAGTTGTATAATATTTTAACCGTGTAAATTCTACATTTGTACCTGTTTTAATAAAAGTATATATTTTTTTTAATGTCTTGTATATATGATATATTAATCGATGTATTTTTAAAAATAAATTGTTAAGCATAAATTGTAATAATATTTTAATGTACATCCATCCTTTGACAAAGTAAATTTTACTTATCTACCAATAAATATTGCATGGAAGCATTGAAAAAAAAAATATTTTACAATTTTGTCCAATTTAAAACAAATATATTAGCCACTTGTTAATCGGATTTGATCACTGGTACGCGGGTAGATGATGTCCTTCCTATCAGAGGAATCTTCTTTTTAGAATTTACCAGCCATTATTATTATTTGTTTATCAAAAAGGTAGTTGCCTATTCCTGGAAACGCAGAAGGGTTGAAATAAATTGTGGATTGGAGTTGATGATCTGACCTTTTTTTAATTGTTACAGTAGGGTTTTTATTTTTTTGCATTAAATTTGTTAGTTGTTATGCGTATAAAAAACTAATGATGCTATTCTTTTATAATAATATACTGTTAAATTATTACTAAAAAATGCACTTATTGCTAATAAATGTTTCTTTAATTGGGGTAGAATCTTACGTGAATTGAGTCTGGCACTTCAGATTGATCATTTTCTGGATTACTTTCACATTTTCAGTACTTTTTTAAAATCATTTTAGTTTTGCATGTTATATCTTTAAAATGAGTTATAAAATAAACGTAGTCAAAATGTTGTAACATTTTACTAAATATGAACTAATGCGATTTTCTTTCTATTAATTATTAATTTAAAAAATAAGATTTTTTATATTAACTGGTCAGAAAAATATTATCAGAGGAAGACTTAAATATACGATTTTTTTTCAAATACTTGCTGAACCTTATCTACCATTATTACTTATTTGATTGAATGAGAAAAATAATCCCAAAGAGAAAAACAAAAATTATTTTCAATATATATGTAAACTGGATGGTCTAATGCTCCCTGAATTACAAGGATGGGATCAAGTAGATAACGCTCTGATGTTCACTGTTCATAGGATAAACAACTACTAATGTGTAAATCTTATCCAACACAATACAAGCGCATTCGTATTACATACATCTATAAACATTTACAATAATAATTCCAAGATTTTTCATCTTTAATATTGATCTAATTTTATTTATAATAATTTTAGAAGATCAAAAGTGCTTGCATGTAGTTACAAAGATTTAATATCGGCAATGAAATCTGGCATGAATCACATCAGCCACTCTAAATTCCTATGTAATGAAGACGACTACAGATCAATTCAAACCAATAGTTTTCTCTTACTATTACTCTATGGAAGTAAGGAAATATAGAAACTTTTCCTGAAAAAAATACCGCAGGAAGTTACAACTAAGTTATTTATTTCCTTATCATATAAAAAACATTTTACACTAACACATTTAATTCATTTACATTGTTTCTACTGAATAGCCAGCTGTGTAGAATGAAGTGGAAGAAACATTTATTTATGTATTGACACTATATAATTTTTCGGTCTTCTTAGAATTAATCAATCTGGTATTCGTTTAATTAAAATATGTATAGGTAAGTAAACTTATTTAAGGGCTTTTTTATTTGAAAAAATTATTTTGATAAAAATAATTGTAATATTATGGGTTTAATTTTCAGGTTTATTCCTTCCAATAAATCAGAATATTTTACAATTAAAAAAATAATATTTACTTATTTATTCGTTACATTAAAATTAGTTATATTACAAATTTAAGTAAAATATTTTTGATTTTCTTGAAAAACCGTTGCAACCTGAAGTTACATTGAATGCAAGCTGATCCGCGGTGTTGCCCCTGATTGGGTGATCGTGGTAAAGCCATTTTTCCAGGGGGCGTGTCAATTTTAATCCCTCTGCCTGGAACATCCCTTCCGTTGGCCAACACTGCCAATCGTACTCTTTTCATTCAACTTAATTTTTCACTCCAAAATTTTTCTAGGAATTTGCAATAAAGTTTATTTAAATATTGAAATTTTATTCCAACGATTAAGAGATTTTTTTGATGATAATAGACTTAAACTTAGATAATATGAATATGCAAAAAAACTGTTTTAAAAAACTCCAAGGAAACCTATATTATTACATTTAAATATAATATTACATATCTTAATATAATGTATTGCATATTCATTCTTGCACATATTTTTTAGCATAATTCAAATAATTCCAAAATGAAGTTTATTGTGTTGAAGGTGGCGAAAAATTATGTCGGTCATGCAAACAGATTCTACTATTATCTAAAATATCAAATGGCTATGAATTTGAGGAAAAGGGTATAAGTAAATTGATACGAGTTGCAACAAGAATGTTGAATAAATACTTAATTTCATTCGTCCCGTTTTACTGAAAGTAGATGTATTAAACATAAACTTCCGTTTCGCATAGGTGAATTGATAAATTAATGCTCTAATGTTTTCATGATGAATGGCCTCAGTTAATATGCAATATATATTAAAGTTTTGGCCCTAGACCTCTAAATATTCATAAAAAGTATGACAAGAATTCGAAAAAACTGTAAATTGAGAAAGCGATGAATCCAAGTTAATAGCTCAAGTCCGCAAATTTATTTTAATCAAGTTTTATTAACTTGCGACAACAGGAAATATTCCCGGCCGTGATTCCATCAATTCTCGACGTGTTCGGCGGGTCAACTAATAAGCGAAATATGGTCGTTGTTTATGCTCCGGAATTATATGGGATTTTTAACTTATTTATCGATTCACTATTAATTCTTGTGTTCTTTTTACACTTTTCACAAAAAAAACATAACCAAACCCGAAAGACAAGAAAATTTTTGAAATATATTTTCTTCCTCCTGTTGCGGCAAAAGGTTGTAAATTATATACGGGTTATTTCAAACCGGTATTTTTAAAATTTCTAGATGGATTTTATCTTGCTTTTCAAGAGTAAACTTAGCTAAGAGTACAAAGGTCAAAAAAAAAACGAAATTTGGAGATTCGGCATTTCTTCTTAGTACGGTAGTGAGTGAATAAAGGGCAGAATAAATACTTAATTTTAATCGTTCCGTATTTTACTGAGAGGATTTTTATTAAATTTACCTCTCGAGTAGGGTGATATTTCAGTCTATTTTGACGTACAAATTGTGACGATTAAATGGCATTTGTCTTAACGACGTGTATCGCTGCTAGATAATGCAAAACGTTCAATACTCTTTTATATTAATAAATCGGATATTTTTCGCAATAAAATTTCAACATTTTGATAAACAACTTTATCGATTTACTGGAAAAAACCCAAAGCCAAACGGAAAGGGTGTAATTATATGGTAATAAAAAAGAATCATGACACTTTATAAAAAGTACGTAATTAATTAAAAAATGAATATATATGAGACATTATTTCGATAATTAACGTTCTGTTGGTAATTAGTACTGGGATAAAATTCATGAATTTATTCCAACTCCTTGTTCAACTGAAAAATTTGGTCTTGAAAAATGGTCTGACCCAAAGATAATATAAATACCCTGAAAGTACAAAAAATAATAATAAAATATTATTGAAAAAACTAGACGTTTTTGTTGTTTTATTTCAAACTTTCAAAGAATATGCTATTTTTCATTATAATGACTGCAAAACACTATGTCTATTCCAGTCGGATTTCCGGGGTCTACAGATATGAATCTATTGGAATGTAGGGAATTAATTTTCTCTTCGACTTATTTTGTTTGCATTTTTTTGCTCTCGCGGGTAATACATATAAGTTCTATTTTGTGGGCTTCTAAATGCGAATTCTGTTTGCCGGTGGGGGACCATTTGTCAGTTGGAGTCCTTGCTTTGGTTTTTTGACGTGTCATTTTTATTATTTTCAAAGTTTGTCGCATTTCAATCTTGTATTATTTGTTTTTAATTATATTTAAAAACTGACAAAAGTAAATACAATATACGCACAATAATAATAATCTACGTTTACGTCCATTTATAGAACCAATCTGTTATACATATTGATACAATATAATGTTCAGATCTTTTTCATGTTTATAAATCTGATTTTTATTACAGAAAAATTTCGAAATTTAAGTGAAATATGCTTCAGATATCCTAGAGAAACCTTCGGAATAGGAAAATTCGTTCTAAGAAAACAAGCTAATCCGCGGTGTTGCCCAACGGAAGGGGTGTTCCAGGTAAGGGGATGAAAATTGACACGCCCCCTGGAAAACTCCTGAAATTGCCGGGTTTATAAATTGTCCAAGATGTCACTAAATATTTCATTTAACTGTTGTCCTCAAAGGGTTGAACATCGTCTGCGGAAACTTTTTCCAGTGCTGTCTTTTTTCACTGAAGAAATCGGTAAGTCAAATTTCTGATTATATATGCTTTTTGTATATACTATTCAAATAAAATGTAACTTTTATATTTGCGATTTCTGAAGTCGTTCAAAGAAGAAATTATTTTTATGAATTATTATTTATTTATTTTAAAAGTGTATGTTTTTTAAATTTTCTATACAGACAAAGATTCGTTTTTACGAAATGGAATGGAATTTTATCAAATCGTTATACGTAGTTTTATAATATAAAATCATAAAAATAAATTCTTGCATTAACGTGTTTTAATTTACTGTAACTTGTGTTTTACAAATGTGTTTTTGTATGTTGCAGGTAACGAAGTCAATACAAAAATGGAAAATCTGGCTGAAAATGTTTTACCCCAGATTGACGTAAATGACAGCGACTTCGTTTACGTTAATTCTGAAGACGTGAGGGAGGTGGCTGCCGTCAATAACAGCGCGTACACATGCTACGCATGTGACGGTGTGTGCACCTTCCGAATGATGGGTTGGACGACATTTCAGCCAATTTTCTCCACGTCCTCTTCCACATGGACGAGAGGATATTGAAGAAGCTAGATGCTGGACTTGGAGGACACGATCTCAGGCAAATTAAACCCCCGACGGAGGCTCAACCCAAGATGCACACTGGACGGCATAAAGGACTGGCGTTCTCGTCGGGCGTCAACAAGGAGAGATATATGCATTCCTGTGCAGTGGGCCAAAAAATTTTCAAAGACCGGTATGCCCTGAAGGTTCACTTCAGGATACATACCGGTGAGAAACCGTTCGTCTGTGAAATATGCGCACGTGGGTTTTCTCAGAAAGCCCACCTATTAAAACACAAGGAAATCCACGTGCGATGATAAAGTTAATTTTAAATTTGTATATTTATTTTTTCTTTGACAATTGTATGTAATATATAAATTGATATGTTTTAAAAATAAATTATTAAGCATATATAAAGTTGTATTAATATTCTAATGTACTTCATTCCTCTGGCAAAATGAATTTATCACGGTTTACTTATCTGTCAATAAATATTTCATAAATAACTATACACCGCTATCTTTAGAGGTAAAATATTCTATTATATTCTGGCTTTCTGAATTTTCTCGGTTCAGTGGTAACGACAGATTTTTATTTATTGTAGTAAAATTAATAGTGTTCTCCGATAAACTTAGGTTAATTTTGTTTTCCTCTGTCGGGAGGTACGCCTCCACCACTCTCTACCGACATCTCGGACGGTATGAGGTTTTATTATAGCTCGTTTACAATTTTAAAAAGACGGTACTACTTTTAAAGAAATACGTGTTTTAAAATTGTACAGAAGCGGAACTGGATTGGAGTTTGACCGTGAGAACTGTTTATCGTTTTCACAGGGAACGTTAATCCTGTGTTGACTGTTCGAAGGTTCGAAACTGATAAAATATATTTCTTCTTGGTAATATTAAAATCCAAAATAAATTGCAAATAACTATTTTTCAAAAATATGCAAAACCAACTACTCTAAAGAGGTAAATTAAATGGGAAGGTTCATCTCACGATGTTTGGAACGTCTTTTCTTATAAGAAATAAAGATCACACTAATTATCAAATAACGCAGCTTGGCCGTTCTCAATATTGTACTTTCAGTCTGACTGTTAATCCAAGCTCCATGAGGCACTAGGCCCAAAAAGTAATCTAACTTACACTCTCAAAACAATACCAGTACCTCAGTTGATAACAGATATCGACCATATCTTGGAATATTATCATCATCTTACCACAAACATCTAAAATACATTACGAGAAAAATTTTGTAAGTCCTATTACTTTAATTTTATTAATTTGTAATTTTATAGTGGAATATACAATACTACGGATGGGTTTATCAAAAATTGCAAAATATATGATCGGATCTATGATTGTGTAATAAAGACAAAAAAGTTTTTCAGATAAATAAAGATGTAGTTGTTATAGAATGTGACAAAACCAAACTGTTATTTGATTGTTTATTTGTTTTAGAAAAAAATTACAAATGTATTTATATAAAAGAAAAACGGGGGTTAAAAATAAATTTGAATTTTTATTTTAAAAAAGAAACTATTGTTATATTTTTATATGACAGCTTTTTAAATAATTGAGTTAATCGACAATAGTTTGTACGTTTTTTGTTTGATAGTCTTGAAAATGGGTACCGCCAATGGTCCCGAAATACGTATTGGAATGAAACTAAAGTGAAGAAGTTTTGTAGTTCAATAAATATCCTATCACATAAAGTTCAGTTTTATTTCATATTTATAAATCTGGTATTTGTTGTAGTAAATTTCCAATATTTAAATAAACAATTGTTCATATATGCGGGAAAAATCTTGGGAATGGAAACATTCGTTGGGCAAAGAAGCAATAATTCGCCTATGTTACCAAACGGAATGGGTGTAATTATATAATAATAAAGAATAATCCTAATACTTTCCAAAAAATAATATGAAATAGGAAACAGATTCATCCATTACTTCGATAAATAACGTTCTGTTGGTACGGTAGAAATTACGGACTTTTTCCAAATCATGGTTGGACTGAAAAATTATGAAAAATATATGAAGTTATATGGAGTTAAAAAGAAAATAATCTGCCGGAAATGTGATTTAAATACCCTCAAAGACAAAAGAAAAATTTTAAAATCGGGGCGTTTATGAATTAACAATATATTACAGGTTTTTCGGAATCCGTTTATTTAATAACTTCAACTGTAAAATCTCATGTAATTTTTCGTTCTATAAGAAAACCAATAAATTTTTTACAATTTTGTTTGGAATAAGATCATGAAAACCGAAAATTGACTATCATTCATATATATGATACATATTCATTATATTATTATTCAACATACACTTAATTATAGTATAAAATAATTAAATACAAATTAAAACTAACACAATAACTGCATTTACGCGATGAAATTTGAGATTTGCTAAAAATTGGGTAGAATCCGTCATAGTACTCGACCACTTACAATTTATAGGCAATTTTAAGGACCAGAGAACTTTAAATTTTTATGATTTATAAATTTATAATTTTACATAACATCAGCACAAACGTACAGTACAAAATTCCGAGCTTGCTTTTATTTTTAGTGCATCTATGTTGTACATATTGATACTATATAATGTTCAGATGAATATTTCATATTTATAAGTCTGATATTTTTGATAGAAAAATTTCAAAATTTAAGTAAAATATATTTCAGATTTTCTGGAAAAACTGTTGGAACATAAAAATACTTTGGCCGAGGAGACGCTAATCTGCGGTGTTGCCCAACGGAAGGGGTGTTCCAGGTAAGGGGGTGAAAATTGACACGCCCCCTTGAAAAATACCGAAATTCGCCAACTTTATAAATTGACCGCACTGAAATGAAGCTCATCATTTTATTGTTGTCTCAAAAGGTTAAACATTATTTCTGGAAACTTTTTCCTTTTTGCCTTCACAGAAGAATTGGTAAGTCAATTGTTTTTTAATTATTCAACATTAGGATGAATTTTTCCTTATTACCCCGGTTACTTTGAAACCATCTACGGTTTTTTTCGTATATGTGCTTTTCGTATATACAGTTTAAATAAAATTTAATTTTTACGTTTTAAATTTCTGAAGAAAAACATTCTAAAACCAAATTTTTTTATTGTAAAAATGAATATATGGAGATATGTCGAATTTGCGCGATTTTCAACAAGTAATGGATTTTGATAAACTTGTTATCGTTATTTTAAAAATACAATTTAACTCTTAAAAATAAATATCTTATTTGTCAGAACATGAAGTAATTGCTTAATTTACGAAAAACCTTAATTTACAGGAAGGAATGTATATAACATATGTGTTTTTGTATGTTGCAGGTAAGAAAAAAATGGAGAATCAGACTGAGGAATTTTATGCGTTCCCTAAAATCGAAGTCGAGGAAAACGACTTCATGCACGACAACGGACAGTTGGAGAACAGCCGGTACACATATCACGGCCGGATACCAAATTGTGACGGTATGTGCACCTTCCGTGCATCAAATAATGAAGAATTTGAAGGCATATCTATGCAGTTCCTCCACGTCCTCTTCCACTTGGATGAGAGGACATTACAAAAGATAGATGCAGGTATTCAGCTAAGCCGGAACATATACAAAATATGAACCGCCCGACGGAGCCGAGAAAATATACTCGACGGCCGCATGGTTTGGCGTCTACGTCGGGCGTAAACAAAGATAAATACATGCACTTCTGTGCGGTGTGCCGAAAAGCGTTTAAAGACCGGTATGCTTTGAAGGTGCACTTCCGGATTCATACCGGTGAACGTCCGTTCATCTGCGATATTTGCGATCGTAGATTTACGCAAAAATGCCACCTTTTAAAGCATAAAGAAATCCACGTCGTACGATGAATTCTGTTATTCATATATAATTTATTTATTTTTAAAAATAAATAGTTAAGTAATTTCAAGTTGTATTGATATTTTAATGTATTTCCTTCCTCTGAAAACTCAATAAAAAAAAAAAATTCAAGCAAATTTATATTTTTCCTTTGCCAATAACTTGTCAATCAGCATTGATAAATATTCTGAGCCTGCCCTTATTCCAAAAGATAAACACTTATATTTGTATTTGCCTAATGGAACATTAAACATAGTCAATTTTGTACTTTCTTCAGTTAAATCTGTTAGGTTTCGTGGTCCGGTTCACCAAATAAATTATTTTCAATTAATTAAGGCATTGGGTGAGATAAAAAATTGAAAAATGCAAAAAGGAAGGAAAATTCAAAAGGTGGGGTAGATGGGAAGTTGTCAGAGAGGATCGAAGTCACGATAGCTCAAGTGGTAGAGAAGCGGCGTATTTAGCAGAAGTTCGTGGGTTCGAATCCAGCTCGTGACACTGACTTTTTTATCTCAACCAATACCTTTCATAAATATTAATTAATTGAAAAAAGTCACTTGGTCAATCGGGCCACGAACTGTACTGGATTTATATATTAATGTTACAACGTACTGATCCGTTTATTTATACTTCTATCTACTTAACACCATTAATTTATTTATGTTAATAAGAAAACCAATAAATTTAGGCAAATTTCATTTCTTTGCTATCAGCTCATGTATAGGGAGCCAAGTACTGAGGCAACGATACCCTTAATGGAGCCAGACGATCAGTAGTGAGACAAAATTGATTTACCTTCTTATATATAAGATTTACTCAATATATTATTTATTTAATATGAGATCTATACCTAATCTAGCGTTAAATAATGATTAAGTAAAAATTGTCATTCTACTTGATACTCATAAATGTGATATTTGTTAAATTCACTGACTTTTTAAATTAACCTCAATAACAACAAGTCTATCATCATCTCCTCAAAACACTAGTATAATTGTAGCATAAAATAGTACGATAACGTTTAAAACAGTATGATAATAGTAATAACGGTGCACGAAAATAATATAAAAACATTTCAAAAATTGATTGGATATAATAAATCAGCGTTCAAACAAATTATAATAATTAAAAAAGCCAAAAAAAGACATATTACATTCTGAAGAAATGATGTTTGTAGATCGACCTGCAGATAATCAATGTAGAGTTCAAATCTTCTTTAAGGTCTTTACTAGGTGAAAGAAAGACAAAAGTGTTGGAATCACCAAGCTTTCGGCAATATTATGTTGCCATCATCAGGGCCTATTTATTAAGTAAAAATATACATAACTAATATAAATTTAACAATCAACAATTAAAACAATAATTAAAAGAAGACATCTCGCTTGAAATCCAGGAGATGGTTCTTACTATTTAACTAAAACTGTTTAACTATTACAATTAATTAAGGTTTTTAGTTGAGATAAAAAAAAGTCAATGGCACGAGGGGGATTCGAACAAAATTTGAAAAATGGCAAAAAGGAGGGAAAATTCAAAAGGTGCGGTTGAGATGGGAAGTTAGTGTCCGAGTGGATCGAGGTCACGATAGCTCAAGTGGTAGAGCAGCGGCGTATCCAGCCGAAGATCGTGGGTTCGAATCCCGCTCGTGCCATTGACTTTTTTATCTCAACTAAAAACCTTAATTAATTGTCTAATGCTATCTTTCAATTGTTTTTCTATAACGCAATCGGTTAAGGACTCTATCTCCACAATTGAATCAATAACGGGAAAATTGTAATAATTATATGCAATAATTAAAATAAAGATCGAAACGTTGGTACGATAAAGAAAATGTTTTTCTGAAACCTACATCACACCAGACCGTATCTCTTTCTGAATAATTATCGATTAACGGTCCCTAATCACCACACAGTTTAAAACAATGGTGCAATCGTATTTTAAATTGGCCAAAAATGACAAAGTTATGAAAAGTTGGAAAAAAATAATATCAGAAAACATTCGTTTGGTTTGCCAATTATTAATCATGTTTCATGTTCGAAGTGCATGCCTTGCGTAAAGATGCAAAGATTTGCTTTTTTTAACCGCTCTTCACCGTTGATCAATGCATTAGAGTTAAGGGAGATGGATTGCCAAATATTTTCTATCCTTTGCCGCAGTTCTTCAATTTCCAACAGACCTGCCATGAAGTCCTATCAACCTATCCAGGAGCGAGGATTTAAATAACGTCTAACTAGCAATAAATTGTATGGGTGAATCAATCAAGCCGGAGAATCATTTTTTGTCGTTGTTTTTGAGGAACATCATCTAATAATATTGGTGAAACCTCCCTCACAAAATTGAGGAACTGAGCAACGTTTAAATTATTTTCGTAAAAATAAGGCGGAATTAATTTATATCTGCGAAGGCCACACCAAATGGTGATAAACGTGAATAAACGTTTAAAAGTACAGTGAATGAATCGAACAGAAATGAGATATATTTCTGCACAAACATCATGCGTTTGTTTTCGTTTAAGGATCATCTTAATCCTGTAGAGACAACAAATAGCAAAAGAGTATGTTCTCAGCACAAACAAGGTAAGATTCAAAGTTATAAATTAACCATTTTTTACACGTCTAAAATACAGATTTGTTTTTAAATAATTGAGTTTTGTTTTTTTGAGTTTTTGTTTGATATCGTTGAAAACGCATACCGTTAGTGGTCCAGAAATACCTATTGGCAATAACTATGGTTCAGTTTTATTTCATATTTATAAATCTGGTATTTGTTGTACTAAAATTGCAATGTTTAAGTAAAAAATCGTTCAGATTCGGAAAAACCGTTAGAATGGAAACTTTCGTTGGGCGGAGGAATCAACATCCGCGCCAAACGAAATGGGTGTAATTATATAGTAATAAAGATTAATCATAATACTTTACAAAAAATAATATGAAATAGGAAACAGATTCATATGACACATTACTTCGATAATTAACGTTCTGTTGTTAAGGTAGAAATTAAGAACTTTTTCCAAATCATGGTTCGACTGAAAAATTATGAAAAATATATGAAGTGGTGGAGTTAAAAAGAAAATAATCTGCCGGAAATGTGATTTAAATACACTTTAAGATTTAAAAAAAAATAAATAACGGGTCGTTTTTGTTGTTTATTTAAAATTTTCAAATTAGTATTTTTATCGTTATAATAACCACAAAATACGTATTTTTAATGTAAACAAAATTAAACTAACAATTTCGGATTTAATTAATTAATAAAGATTTCATTTTGGTATTTGAAAAAAAATGCCGAAAAGTTATTTAATGATAGATTAAAATTTAATATAACAATTTATCAACAGGTTTTGCGGGATCAGTTTACATAATAACTTTTCCTATATAATATGACTTATTTTTTTAATTCTATTTTTTTTAAGAAAACCAACAAATTTTGATTATTATTCAATATAAAGATGAATTTTTAGTTCTTACCTTGGTACATATCAAACCGACTACGGTTTTCTTTTTTATGTATGTTATTTTCATCCAGTTCAAATAAAATTTAACTTTATATATTTTTAATTTCAAACGTTAAAAGAAAATTTTTTATATTTTTTAAAACTGTTGTTTCAAAAAATGTTCTTTTTTTTATGAATTTGCACGATTTTATATTAGAGTACAGATAAAGATTCGATTTTTCAAAATGGAATTTTATAAAATTTTCATAAATACAAATCGCATCATAAAAAAAAATTCTTGCTTATCGTTGCATTATTTTTATGACAAACTTATTTTAGTATATTGGAACGCGTGTTTAACAAATGTGTTTTGTATGTTGCAGGTAACAAAGTCAATCAATATGGAGAATTTTGCTGAAGATTTTTACCCCAGATTGTCGAAAACGACAGCGACTTCGCTTACGATAATTCCCAAGAAATGAGGCAGGTGGCGTACACTTCCTACGGTATGTGCACTTTCTGTTCATCCACGTTTAATCCTATGTATAAATTGCCCGTTATGACACTAAACATATCATTTAACTTTTGTCCTCAAAGGGTTGAACATCGTTTGTGGAAACTTTTTCCAGAGTTGTCTTCACGAAAGAAATCGGTAAATCAAATTTCGGATTATTATTCAACATTAAGATGAATTATTAGTTCTTACCTTGGTACCTTTAAAACCGACTACGGTTTACTTTTTTATGTTTGCTATTTTCATCCAGTCCAAATAAAATTTAACTTATGTATATTTTGAATTTCTGAAAACAAACGTCCAAAGAGTTTTTTATCAATTTTTTATGTTTGATCAAGTTGCACGATTTTGTATAACAGTACAGATAAAAATTCGATTTTTCAAAATGGAATGGAATTTTATGAAATTTTTATAAATACAAATCAAAACATTTAAAAAAAATTCTTGCTTATCATTGCATTAACAAATAGATTATTTTTATGACAAACGTGTTTCAGTTTATTATAACTTGTGTTTAACAAATGGGTTTTTGTATATTACAGGTAGCAAAGTCAATCAATATGGAGAATCTGGCTGAAGGTTTTTTACCCCAGATCGACGTAAACGACAGTGACTTCGCTTATGATAATTCTTGCTACAGTACGTGCACTTTCCGTTCATCCACGTTTGAAGGATTGGAGGAAAGTTCAATCAATTTCCTCCACATGCTCTTTCACATGGATGAACGGATATTGAAAAAGATAAAGAAAAAAAATCAGACTCAAGATTTTTCCCACAAATTGAAGTAAACGAAAACGACTTCGTTTACAATAATTCTCAAGTCCTGAGACACGTGGGTGAGGTGAATACCAGCGCGTAAACGTGTTACGCCTGGATACCAAATTGTGACGGTATGTACACTTTCCGTTCATCCACGTTTGAAGGATTGGACGAAAGTTCAATCAATTTCCTCCTCATGCTCTTTCACATGGATGGACGGATACTACAGAAGATAGACGCCTGTGTTGAAGTCAGCCAGAACAGGAGTATGAACCCCGACGGGGACGCTACACAGGGTGCATTCTGGACGGCGGAAAGGAATGGCTTCCAAATCAGGCGTAAGTAAAGACAGGTATATGCACTTCTGTACAGTCTGTAGTAAAGGTTTTAAAGACCGGTATGCCCTGAAGGTTCACTTCAGGATACATACCGGTGAGAAACCTTTCGTTTGCGACATTTGTGAACGTGGATTTACACAGAAAGCCCACCTTTTGAAGCATATGGAAATCCACGTTAGACGATGAAAGGAATTCGAAATTTGTACATATTTTAATTATAGTGTGTATATTTTGAAATGTCTAATATATACAATACATTTATCGATGTATTTTTAAGAATAAATCGTTGACCATATATAAAACTGTGTTAATATTTTAATGTACTTCCTTCCTTTGACAAAATAAATTATACTTTTCCTAAAGTAAATATTTCGTAGAAACATTAAAAAATAAATGTTACACTTTTGTTCGGACGCGTGGGGACCACGGTGAAGGTTACATGCCTAATAAGCCACGTGCTAGACGGCAATTTGAAATAACCAATTAATCACTGTCTTTTCCACTCGGATGAGTGGGAAAACAGCAGAGGAGATGGAGATGGCGAAGGAGAAGAAGAAGACGATGGAAAAAGTGATGGAGAGCACTCCTTTATCCACCGGCAGCACCGTTTCGGTGCGCTGTGAAGGAGATAAGGCTGCTCTCCTTAAGGAACAGAGTGATACAGACGCAGGATTCACCCTGGTTAAAAGAGGTAAGAGAGGAGAGCGATCCAGGAACGAGCACAATAAGAGTCGCTCTAACCCTCGAACGATTGGGTCCACACCTACATTCCAACCGGCCTTCAAAGACAGGTTTAAACAAAAACGTGGTTGGCTTAAGTAACGTAACGCTGCAGAACACTTATGGATAATAAAATCAAGGGAAAAGATATTAGAATTTTTTCCGTCAATCAGGCCAGTCTTAGGTCATTACAAAAAGAGTTATCAACATCTAGGCTGGTGGAGGAAACTGTTGAACTTATCAATAGAATCACTTCTAGGTATGAGAATAGGGTAACCCTCATTTGGATACCAGCACATAAAGGACACTATGGCAATGAAGAGGCGGATAGCCTGGCCAAAGAAGGCTCAAATACTGCGTTTGTCGGGCCACAACCGGTATTACCCCACTCTATAAGCACAGCGAAAGAGGGTATTAATAGCTGGGGCATGAAACAATTATTTAAATAATGGAATCTGTCCCCCGGACATAGGCAATCGAAGGAGTTTGTGAAGGAGATCAAACCAAAAGAATCGAAATGGCTATTCTCTAACTCAAGGACGGGAATTAGGAGGCTCATAGGTATCCTGAAGGGCCATTGCCCTGAGAAGACACCTCTTCGTAATGGGTATTTGACCCTTCTGCCGTTTTTGTGAAATAAAAGAAAAAACGGCACGGCACTACCTCGCAGAATATGATAGGTACGCCAGGTATAGATTCTAAACTTTTGAAGGAGTGGATATTACCAAATCACTCCCCGAGATAAAATGGTCCAAAATCTTGGGGTTTGTGAACAAGTCCAAGAGGTTTATACAGGACAAGTGGACCGACCAAGTCCCGGACCCTTTAGGGATGGGGTACGAGTCTACCCAGGCATTTAACCCCTCGGGTTCTGAAAGAAAATTCTGTAAGGGGGCGAAATTCAGCTGGCAAACGCAACTAATGGAACGATTTTGTAAGATCTAATGAAGAGAAGTACTGTGCCCCACTAATTTATCCATTATTGATTTTATGGTGGCACGTGGTAATTGAAGTATCGAAGAATTTTATTTCGCGCTCAATAGTCTACCACCAATTTATATTCTGGTATTTGGCCTTTTGTTTACCAGAAAACACGGGCTTAGAAACGATGAATATAATTCTTCTATAATTTTTTGGGACTCAACTCTAAAAAAATTTCTTGGGCTATTTTCTTTTGTGAAGGTTAATCCTGGAATGACCAACTTGTCAAACATACAAGATAATTTCACTATTTTTAATGTTAAGTGTACCCCTATTTGCGGTCGAACCTTTCATCATTCGCAGACAATAATTTAATGGAAGGATGAAAATATTCTTCTTGTTTATGAACTCCTTACGGTTGAGAGTATCAAATAATTTTGGGAAATTGAAGTTTCAATTCGACAATTTTAGTCGCCTCAGAATCAATAAGGGAATATACAGGCATCTTATTCCATTGGAATAGTCTAGTCTGATTGCTTCAATTTTATCATATTTTTCAATAGGAAACTTACCTAAGAGTACAAAGGTCGTGTAAACAAACAAAAAGTCGATCGGAAACGGGACAACATTGAATACAGTTCATATATATTATACTTATTCATTAAGTTTTTAATCACTGTACATTTACCTCTAGTATCGAATAATTAAGTAAAAGTTAAAACTAACGCAAAATCTAAATTCTCGGGACGAACATTGTAGATTTGCTCAAAATTGGGTAGAATCCGTCGTTGTCCTCCTCGGAGGACACCTCCAATTCATTGGCCATGTTCACGACCACAGACTTCAATTTTGGTAATATTTATTTAAATTATGTATAAAAACTGACAAAAGTAAATACAATATACGCTTAATAATAATCTGCGTTTACTTTCATTACTAGAGTGCATCTGTTATTCGTATTGATAAATAAAATGTTCAGATTTTTTTCATGTTTATAAATCTTGTATTTATTATAGAAAAATTTCTAAATTTATAGAAAATATGTTTCATATATCTTAGAAAAACCGCCGGATTGGGAAAATACGTTGGAAGAAAAAACGCTAATCCGCGGTGTTGCCCAACGGAAGTGGTGTTCCAGGTAATGGGATGAAAATTGACATGCTCCCTGGAAAAATACCAAAATTCCCCGGCTTTATCAATTTTCCACGATGACAGGAAGCGTTCCATTAAACTATTTTCCTCAATGGGTTGAACATGGTTTGTGGAAACTTTTTCCAGTGCTGTCTTCACGGAAGAAATCGGTAAGTCAAATTTCTGAATATGTATGCTTTTTGTATATACTATTCAAATGAAATGTAACTTTTATATTTGCGATTTCTGAAGTCGTTCAAAGACGAAATTATTTTTATGGATTATTATTTATTTATTTTAAAACTGTATTTTTTTGTAAATTTTCTATGCAGACATAGATTCGTTTGTACGAAATGGAACGGAATTTTAACAAATCCTTATACTTAGTTTTATAATATAAAATCATAAAAATAAATTCTTGCATTAACTAATAGATTATTTTTACGACAAACGTGTTTCAATTTACTGTAACTTGTGTTTAACAAATGTGTTTTTGTATGTTGCAGGTAACAAAGTCAATAAAAAAATGGAGAATCTGGCTGACCATGTTTTAACTCAGATTGACGTTTCGGACATCGACTTCGTTTTCGATAATTATGAAGAAACGAGGCACGTGGCTGACGTCGATCATAGCGCGTACATTTTCTACGGTACGTGCACGTTCCGGTCATCTACTTTTGACGGATTGGACGACAGTTCAGTCCATTTCCTCCACATCCTCTACCATATGGACGAGAGGATATTGAAGAAGATAGATGCTGGTCTTGGAGGAAATGAAATCAGGCATATTAAACCCCCGTCGGAGACCCAACCCAGGATGCACACTGGACGGCATAAAGGACTGGCTTCAACATCATGAGTCAGCAAATACAGGCATATGCACTTACGTGCAATATGTCGCAAGGGCTTTAAAGAACGGTATGCCCTGAAGGAGCAACATTTGAGGATACATACCGGTGAGAAACCGTTCCTTTGCGAAATATGCGAGCGTGGGTTTTCACAGAAAGCCCACCTTTTAAAACACAAAGAAATCCACTTGCGACGATGAAGTAATTCTGAATTAGTATGTTTTTTTTTGTTTTTTTTTTTTAATGACTAACATGTAGATTGATGTTTTTTTAAATAAATTGTTAAGTATATATAAAGTTTTATTAATATTTCCTTCCTCTGATAAAATAAATTTAACACGGTTTACTTATCTGACAATAAATATTTTAGTTTTACCTTAAAATTTTGGTGAGCTACTTCAACTTCGATTTCTGATTCGTAACAGTTTAGTAATTCTGGTGCATAGATTACGCCTTTTAAGTAATTTAACGTTTTATGCAAAGTGAATTTAATTGGTCTATTCTCATAAATTTTCATACGGTTCAAATTCAAAAAGTTTTTTTTACTGGTGATATTAAGAAGAATTTCTTTCATTTTTTAGGAATTTAATAGTCACTAGCGGGCAAAAACCTTTAATGAATTTACAGACTTTGAACGGACTAAAGTCATAATTATTTTTTTATTTGTCTTAGTTTGATTCAGGCTTGTAATAACATATTTTGAACCTGTCCAATTCGGTTTAGATTTCGGCAACACAGAGCTGCTTTTATCAGGAGGTTCAGGTTCAAAGGGCAAAATCAGTGTCTCTGCCAGTGTGGGCCAAATTGTCCGCGCGATTTAAGGTGAGACAAAACCAAACTTTTTTTCAATAAATCAACGAGCATTTAAAATAAAACAGTGTATGCACGATAGAATAGAGTAACAGGTAACGCAATATTCCTCGTCCAAAGGAGGAGGGACGAGTTCGGGCAGTGATCTCAGGAAATAAAGAAACACGATGTCATCCGCACAAGATATAAAAGCGTACTAATTAGATTTATTAAATATGTATTTCATATAAAGTGATCTTTCAGGCTATTTTCAAATATGAATTTTGATGATTAAATGGCATTTATCCTTATCATGAGAGTAACACTGGNGAAGTTTGTAGCACGAGTAGCAATTCACCCTGTATATATATATATATATATATATATATATATTTGCCACTTGTTAATGTGTTGCAATCAGTGGTACGCGGTTATGTGATGTATGTGTCCATTCTATCCGAGGGGCCTCCTTTTTAGGATTTATTTTCAAAAGAATGGATGCTTATTCCTGCTAACACGGAAGGGTGCACTTCCTATAAAAAAACAGACCGACCATCCGTTTTTCGCACGAAAAATGGGTAACTTTGGAAATGCATATTTTATCAGCCTATTAACTCACAGTCCTGCGATAAATCTTATTTTTTAGAAAATCGTATGCTGAATAAGGTTTCCTTTTAAAATGTTTTCCTAGCTTCAGTCATTCATCAGTAAATACAAAACTTCTGGCAAGTGTCAATTTTTGTACTTTTTACGAAAACTTCAAATTGAAATTTGAAGCCAGGAAACCGCCATGGAGCGCGACTCCCTTAAAACGCAAATTAAGGCAATTGCCAACGCCCGTCTGTCGGCGGTCCGACTATTTTTTTTAAAAGCTAACAGTACATAAAATTTGTTAGTAAAAAATGAGTAAAAAATACGATTTTATCACAAGCCAAATTGATGAATTCATTAATTTTGCAACCTTACAATTCATCCACCTCAGTAAAAAAACTCGTACAGTGCCAAGCTGAGTATTTTTTTTTGGTCGTGGAGTGTTTATTAATAAAATTTATGCAAGTGTGAGGGAGACAGTAGATGGGTGTTGTGATAGGGTACAGATTTAAAGGTGTACGGTTACATGGCAAATGCTCTATCATAATTTTTTGTGTACATATTGAATTGACAAACATTAAATAATATTCACTAGTTTCGTGGTCAGCTTGACCAATTAATATCATACAATTAATTAAGGTTTTTAGTTGAGATGAAAAAAGTCAATGGCACGAGCGGGATTCGAACCCACGATCTTCGGCTTAATACGCCACTGCTCTACCACTTGAGCTATCGTGACCTCTGTCCACTCGGACACCAACTTCCTATCTCAACACCATCTTTTGAATATTCCCTCCTCTTTGCCATTTTTCAAATGTCGTGTAATCAATTTGATTCTCGGCGACGAATGAAATGGCCACGGAGAGCTTTAGTGAAGGATACTTCATTTCAAATTTATTAAATTCACTAGTTTCGTGGTCCGCTAGCTGATTACACGACACAATTAATTGTATACTGTACCGAAATCGATAAAATGAATCGTTAGTTTAAAAAGAAAGTTTGTTTTGAAATGAAAAGGTAATGACTGTTTTGGTTATTATGTACTGTAGAAATAGAATTTTTTTTTACAATAAAAAATTACATTACTGTAATGACACTTTCAATTTTACTTTAAATTTAAAATTTATTTAAATTGTTACTTAAAACGTGTATTTATATTTATTTTCTTTATTATTTCTATATACATATACTGATTTTTTATAATGAGATAAAGCTCAAAAGATATTTTTCTTGAATTTATTAAATTTGCGTTCCTGATAACTTCAAACATCACTATTTGGAGGACCGCGGTAGCCGAGTGGTTAGCATGAGAGACTCTCACGCCGCGGTCGTGGGTTCGATTCCCACCGTCGCCTCTGGCCCTTATTTCCCGATAACCCCCCAATTTGAACACACAAGAATTCGTACTATGGCTAATATGCAAGATCATAAGGCCAATAAATAAAATAAATTAATTAATTTAAAAAAATCACTATTGCGGATTTGATCGGACAACAGTGTATTAATGCTTTAATACATTTTGTATTTGCTTTAATGCTTCTCCACGCGTGGTTTCGTTTTCCCTTCCTGAAGTGAGTGTATTTATTAGCGAGAATGTGTGAGGGTATGGGTGGGTAGTGGTCGTAATATCAAGTATACTACAGACCCACCAAACTAGGATTGATATCTCCTTGTGTGTTTTGGGTAGAATGAACGTATTTATTGGCGAGAAAGTGAGTGTGTGTGGGTGGGTTGTGCAGGAATATCGAGTACTCCACAGACCCACCGATTTAGGTTAGTATTAGGCTATAATATCTTTTAGAGTGAATGCGCGGAGGCACTGTTGTAATATTAAATACGCCAGTGCTCCGCATTTTTTTATTTGTAATTACAGAATGATTGGTTACTGTTTGAGTGAATGTATTTATTAGTGCGATAGTAGTGTACGCATGGGTGGGTCTATGGTGAAATGTCAAGTACCCCATAAACCCACCAACCTAGGTTAATATTTTAGCTTAATTGTACATAATATATGGATGTATTTGTACGAGGGCGAGTCTTCAGAGGAATATCGAGTACTCTGAAACCCGCATTTAGTCTAGGCTAAGATTGAATGTTAGTGAATGAGATCGTTTCAGAGCCTTTTCACCACGTGTGGGACGGCTAAAAATGTAGAAGTACGTCCCAGAACACAACCAGAAAGATCGCCAGACTTCCTACAGAAAAGCTAATTTCAAAAAAATAAATATATATATAAAATATATAAATAAATAAAAATAAATAAACTTTTGAAACGTGAGGTGGAAGAAATGTGAGGTGCCGGCAATAGCCCAGGCAGCTAGCTGGCCGGGGGGGGGGGGAAGAAAAACCCTGTATTTCTGGAATTAAAAATATAAACAGCTTGGATGGTCAACCTTCATGTAAACAAACACGATAATAATAATGCTGAGCGATAAAAGCGATAAATAAATTTTGACTTTTCGTTCAACGAATTTCAACAAAATTCTTATTATCAGTGTATAGTTAATAATATAATATAAATTAAGCAATACTTGGACATTCTTTCGAATAACTATTTGAAGGTAAGATTTTGATTAATCACTATTTTCTATCATTAATTTGTTTAACCAAAGGACATTGATTGCGATATACGAGCAATAATATTTTTGTCTGATTCATTTAGGGACAATAAAACATAACTCACTTTTAATAAAATTTTATTACATTTTGTAGGGTCCCTTAAATTTCGGTAAAAGTGACGCATTTCTCTCGTGAATTTTACTTTTGCATAATTAAATCATAAGACATAACTAAATAAAATTTTAAATGACAATATTCCTTTATTTTTATTATATTTTTTCCGATCTGATTATTAGCTACTTGTAAATTGTGAAATGCTAGACACCATAGTTTTTTTAATTTTCTGGGATCTTCAGTTTGATAAAATTTTGAATTAATTTCACATTTTAAACTTAACGGACTCAATAAATTTCTTCCTTAAAATAAATTAGCAGGTGACAATCTGGTGGTTGTATGTATAGAATTGCTTAATTCAATTAAAATTAAATTTAGATCTTTGTCCCAATGCTTTTTTTTGCAATAAAAGTAAAAGATTGCTTGTTTAATCAATCGAATCACGAGTTATGAATTATTTGCCATTGGTGCGTAAGAAACGTTTAAAAAATAGGTAATTCCCAGAGAAAAACAGAAATTCTTGTAAGCCTGAGACTTAAAAATTGCCGGCCGCTCTGTCACTTGCAACTATTTTGGGAAAACGTGTATTTTTAACGCGTTAAACTCGTTAATTGTGTTTGACTTAAAAATCGGTTTGGCAATATAAATTTTGAAAAAACAACCGGGCAAACTAACAAATATTGTGCTCAGGATTCTATGTTTTATGCATCGGAAAATTTGTTTCTACTTGGTACTGTAAAATATGTTTGCTGTTACTCGTGTCGGCCTTAGTTTGTGCACAAATGACGCTATTTTTTGTTTTTTGTCTGTGGCCATTTCGATACAAGTAAATTCTTCTCTAATTTTATATAATGTCTTCTTATACCCAAAGTGAGCAGCTATTTCTGAAGTATGAAAGTAATCAAAAATCGTAGGATGCAACATCGAAGGTACAACTATTTTTGACCTGCTCATTTAGGAGTTCTGAGATATAAAATATGATTCTTCAAAAATAATTTGGTACTTGTACTTTATTTAATAATTTTATTCGTATTGCATTTAATTTTTTATCATTTGTTTTATATCTTCGATTCCGTCCATGTTTGGACACAGTGCGAGACACTCGTCAATCGTAACGCTGCAATTTTCTCGTATTTTAAGCCGATTTTTTGTAAATCGTGATCTAACTTTTACACCAGTGGTTTAATTTCGTGTACGAATCCAAATCTTCAGTTACAAGGTTTGAAAGAAAACAACCATGATTTGACAGTAAATGTTTCCATGAGAGAAATCTGTCTTTTAGACTTTTAAATTTGTTTCGCCAAACTAGATCTACTAACTAAGAAAAAACTAATGTATAAAATATTCTTCTTCAAAAAATAACTTACTTGTACTTTATTTAATAATTTTATTCGTATAGCATTTAAATTTTTATCTTTTGTTTGATAATTTGATATGCTGGTGAATAGTTCAGGACATTTTAGCAGTATTAAACCCGGCCAATTTTGGGTATGCTTTTGCTCATACTCTAATGTTGCAATCGATTCAGAACTAGAGTTTATTGGATTTTGTTATTTTTTTCCCAGCAATATATTCAACTGTAAAGGCATACGCTTGTAATTATGATAACGAACGTGCTGAACGACCTTTTCGGTCTTTTTGATTATTAATAAGCAGGGTAAGCTGAGCAATCTGTTCTCAAAAAACATTTGGGTTGTTTCAGATATGGTTAAAAATGAGATACTTATAATAGCCATTAATTCCTTTTCACATGTATTATAATTAGTTGGGCCTATTGCAATTTAGTAGAGAAATAAGCAATTTGCAAAAAAATCCCGTCAAAATTTTGTGGCAAGACAGATCGATTGCCACATAATTTGCATCAGTAGTCAAATGAAATGGTTTCTCGAAATTCGGAATTTGCAAAATAAGAGCTGAAGCTATTAATGCCTTTGCCTCTTCGAATGTCTTTTATTCTATGTCTGACCACATGAATTTTGCGCCCTTTTTTTAAGTTGGTATGAGGAGTTAGCCCTTTCGATAAATTCGTCAGAGATTTTGAGAGAAAATTAGCCAAAGGTCGTGGGTTCGAATCCCGCTCGTGACACTAACTTTTTTATCTCAACCATAGCACTAATTAATTGAAAAATTCTTCAGTTAGTTCCATTTGATGAAATAATTGATTTAGGTCTAAAACTGTGAGGCAATTTCCGCCCCTTAAATGATCCATGACAGAATTTAAAGTCGGGAGAGGATATTCAACAAATTTTATTACCTTATTTATTTTTCTATTATTAGACTAGAAGAAATTCATTTTTGCCAGATTTGGGAACTAAAAATGCAGGGCTCGAATAAGGTGAGTAGGATGGAATTACAATGTCTTCTTTTAATAATTGATCTACGATTTTTTTTTTTTCATCTTTTGACTATAACGGATTTAATGGATATTGTCGCGAATTAACTGGTCAATTCTGGTCCTCTTACCGGGAGAAAAGCTATCGGTCCATACTGATTTAATCTTCTGCGAGAAGTGCGTTCATAAATTTGGACACCTCGAACTTCTGGAGTTGATGAATCGCTTGAACAACAGTAAGGTGCCGGGGCGTCTGTGGTCGCAACGGTTTAGGCGTTGACTCTGCGCTCATCACTGTAAGGTACAGGTCCCGGGTTCAAATCTAGCGGCCCTGCATTCGAACCCGACATACTTACAAATGGGCTTTTTATCAAAAACACCGGATCCCTGAGGGTTTATATGACCACTGCTGTTGCGAACCCTCTTAAAAAAAAAGAGAGAAAAAAAAACAGTAAGGTGCCGGTTTCGCAAATTCTCAATGTCACAAAACGGTCATTCTGTGGTTCCGTTACCCTAGGGCGTCCAGAACCGAACCTTATATGGTACGACCCAGTTTGTCGAAAACGCCTAACGGCAATTCGCAATGCTTCGTAGGGAACTCCGATGGCAATAGCCGCATAACTGATGGAACGTCCATCATCAATAAGTACCACACCACGCGCAACATCCTCAGCACTTAGTGGCATTTTTAAGTCGAAAAATTGAAATTAAGAAAATGAAGATGAAAACTAAAAAGTTTATTGCTTCAGAATTCAAATGCGACTGAATAAGCATTTTAAAATCCATAAAAAGTAAACATTGAAAAATCCTTTATCCTTGTTTCGGATTAAGAATTAAGTGTGCGATAGTAAATGAATCACACATTTAAATTAATACCACTGAACTTTCATTTATTTTGTTCAATACAAGCATTTCCTAACTAGTTGATAAGTTTAACGGAGGTAAGGAATAATTGTGAGGTAAAACAAATGGAAAATAACGTAAATGGCACGTGCGTTAATTTTAACCATTAACACAAGCACATTTTATAAGCAACGGTAAAATTTTGAAAATACTGGGTTTTTTATTCCTATTTGCTCCATATATATTGGGGATATTTTAAAAGGCTATGTTTAGTATTTCTCGACAGATTTTATCATATTTTTCAATAGGAAACTTACCTAAGAACACAAAGGTCAAAAAATGTGGAGATACGTCATTTCTTCTTAGCAAGGCAGTGTTGTGAGCATGTGTAAATCTTATTCACCACAATACACGCGTATTCATACTATATGTATAAATATTTGCAATACTAATTTTAAGGATTTTTCTTGATTAGTATTGAACTAATTTTATTGATTTTATTGATTTTAAACATTTTAAACTAACAATTTAATGTGTGGTGATTGGTGACCGTTAATTGATAATTGTTCAGAAATCGTGAGCAGAACGCATCTCACAATTTCTGAATAATTAACACATTTAATTCATTTGTTTCTGTGTAGAATGAAGTGGAAAAAATATTTATTTATGTATTGACACTATCTACTCATTCGGTCTCCTTAGAATTAATCAATCTGGCATTTGTTTAATTAAAATGTCCATAGTTAAGTAAACTTGTTTCAGGGCTTTTTTATCTGAAAAAATTATTTTAAGAAAAATAATTCTAATATAATGGATTTACTTTTCAGTTTTGTAAAGCAGAATTGTTTATAAATACAAAAATAATATTTATTTATTTATTTGTGTGATATTCGTTACATTAAAATTCGTTATATTACAACTTTATTTAAAATTTCTTTCTGATTTTAAGTAAAACAAAGTAATTTAAGTAAAAATTTTCAGATTTTCTTGAAAAACCGTTGCTACCTGAAGTTACATAGAATGCTCGCTAAACCCCGGTGTTGTCACTGATTGGGTGATCGTGGTAAAGTCATTTTTCCAGGAGGCGTGTCAATTTTAATCCCTCTACCTGGAACATCCCTTCCGTTGGGCGACACGGCCGATTGTATTCTCTTGTTCAACTTAATTTTTCACTCCAAAATTTTTATCGGATTTTGCAACAAAGTTTACTTAAACTTTGAAATTTTAATTAAATAAATAATAGAATTTTTAATTATAATAGACTAAAACATACATTTTATGAATGTGCAAAAAAAAATGTTCTAGAAAACTTTAAGGAAACCCATATTATTATATTTAAATATAATATTACATATCAAAATATAATGTATTGTATACGTATTTTTACATATATTTTTTTTAAATAATTCCAAAGTGAAGAGTGTTGTTCTGATGATGGCAAAAAATTATGCCGGTCAAGCAAACAGGTTCTACAATTATTTAAAATATTAAACAGCTATGGATTAGAGGAAAAGGGTGTACGTAAATTGATATGAGTTGCAACAAGAATGTTGAATAAATACTTAATTTCAATCCTTCCCTATTTTATTGAAAGTAGATTTTGTAAATTTACATTTCGTATAGGGTGATTGGCGTCTATTTTGGCGGATTAATGGTGACAGTTAAACAACATTTTTTTCTTAAGGAAGTGATGCTAGATAATACATAATGTTCAATTCTATTTCATATTAATAAATCTGATATTTGTTGTATTAAAATTTCAACATCTTGATGAACCACTTTTCAAATTTGCTTGAAAAACCGTTGGAATGGAAACTTACGTACGACGAAGAGGCGCTAATCCGCGGTGTTGCCATACGGAAAGGTGTAATTATGCCGTAATAATAAAAAAACTGTGATGCTCAATAAAAAGTACGTAATTAATTAGGAAATAGAAAGAAATGAGACATTTCTTAAATAATTAACGTTGTATTGGCAATTAGTACAAGGATAAAGTTTTTTTTTCCAAATCCTTGTTCAACTGAGAAATTTATACGAAGTGGTGGAATGAAGCGTTCAAAGAGAATTTTATTTATTTTAGAACTGTATGTCCCTTTTTGAATTTGCAATGCGAATTTTATGAAATTTTTATAAATTCAAATCGAAACATAAAAAATATGTCTTGTTTATAATTGCATTAAGTTGTTTTAATATGTTGCAGGTAGCAAAGTCAATAAAAAAATTCAGAATCAGACTGTAGATTTTTCCCACAAATTGAAGTAAACGAAAACGACTTCGTTTACAATAATTCTCAAGACCTGAGAACGTGGGTGACGTTAATAACAGCGCGTAAACGTGCTACGCCTGGATACCTAATTGTGACGGTATGTGCACTTTCCGTTCATCCACGTTTGAAGGATTGGACGAAAGTTCAATCAGTTTCCTCCACATCCTCTTTCACACGGATGAACGGATACTACAGAAGATTGACGCCGGTGTTGAAGTCAGCCAGAACAGATGTATGAACCCCCTCCCACGGGGACGCAACCCAGGGTGCATACTGGACGGCGGAATGGAATGGCTTCCAAATCAGGCGTAAGCAAAGACAGGTATATGCACTTCTGTACAGTTTGTAGTAATGGTTTTAAAGACCTGTATGCCCTGAAGGTTCATTTCAGGATACATACCGGTGAGAAACCTTTCGTTTGCGATATTTGCGAACGTGGATTTACACAGAAAGCTCACCTTTTAAAACACAAGGAAATATAACAATAAGAATAAAAATTCAATTTTTCAAAATGAAATGGAATTTTATGAAATCGTTACACTTATTTTTATAATATAGAAACGTAAAAATAAATTACTGCATTAACTAATAGATTATTTTTATGACAAACGTGTTTCAATTTACAGTAACTTGTGTTTAACAAGTTTGTTTTTGTATATCGCAGTTAACAAAGTCAATAAGAAAAAAATGCAGAATCAGATTGATAATATTTATGCACTCCCTGAAATCGAAGTCGACGAAAACCACTTCATACCCGACAACAGACAGATGGAAAACAGACGGTACACATATCACGGCCGGATACCAAAATGTGATGTTACGTGCACTTTCCGTGCATTAAATAATAAAGAATTAGATGATATTTCTATCCATTTCCTCCACATCCTCTTCCACATGTACGAGAGGACATTACAAAAGCTGCAGATCTCCAGGAAAGCCGAACAAATTGAAGTAAACGAAAACGACTTCCTTATTCTCAAGATATGAGGCAGGTGGTTGAGGTGAATACCAGCGCGTTCACTTGCCAGGAGAGTACCAAATTGTGACGGTATGTGCACTTTCCGTTCATCCACGTTTGAAGGATTGGACGAAAGTTCAATCAATTTCCTCCTCATGCTCTTTCACATGGATGGACGGATACTACAGAAGATAGACGCCGGTGTTCCAGTCAGCCAGAACAGGAGTATGAACCCCCGACGGGGACCTACACAGGGTCCATTCTGGACGGCGGAAAGGAATGGCTTCCAAATCAGGCGTAAGTAAAGACAGGTATATGCAGTTCTGTACAGTTTGTAGTAAAGGTTTTAAAGACCGGTATGCCCTGAAGATTCACTTCAGGATACATACCGGTGAGAAATCTTTTGTCTGTAATATTTGCGGATGTGGATTTACACAGAAAGCTCACCATTCTGAAGAAATGAAGCAGGTGACTCAGGAAAATAACTGCGTGTACACATGCTTCCCGTGTGACGGTGCTTTCCGAGCATTACTGATTGATAGGTTGGACGTCATTTCAGTCCATTTCCTCCACATCCTCTTCCACATGGAGGAGAGGATATTGACGAAGATAGATGCTGGACTTGGAGGAAACGAAAACAGGCATATTAAACCCCCGACGGAGACCCAACCCAGGATGCACACTGGACGGCATAAAGGACTTTCAAGGACTCTTCAACGTCGAGAGTCAACAAGGAAAGGCATCTGCATTTCTTTGCAATCTGTCGCAAAGGTTTTGAAGACCGGTATGCTCTGAAGGTTCACTTCCGGATGCATACCGGCGAAAAACCTTTTGTCTGCAATATTTGCGAACGTGGATTTACCCAGAAAGCTCACCTTTTGGAGCATATGGAAATCCACGTTCGCCGATGAATGTACGTACTAAATTTTTTTACATTTTAATTTACCGATGTTTTTTAAAAATAAATTGTTAAGCATATACAGAGTTGTATTAATATTTTGCCGTACTTCCTTCCTCTGTCAAAATAAATTTAACAAGTTTTACTTATCTGACAATAAATATTTCGTAAATAATTTCCACTGTTGAAAATTGTAGCATTACTGCCAACAGGGCTCCATCATTGAACGATTAATTTTAATTATTATCGATTTAAGCACATATAAAGTTCGATCAATGTTACGGATCCGTTTATTTAATAACTTCATTAATATTGAAGAATTATTTTTTGCATTGGCATGAACTATAGCAGCTGCTGTAAATTTATATGTAATGTAAGACGACTACAGAACAATTCAAACCAATATTTTTTTCTTACCATTAATCCATGAAAGTAAAGAAGTGTAGAAACTTTTCCTGAAAAAATTCCGCAGGAAGTTACTATTAAGTTATTTCCTCATCCTATAAAAGCCATTTTAAACTAACGTATTTAAGTCATTTACATTTTTTCCACTGAATAAAATCACCAGCAGCGGATTAATCAATCTGGTATTTGTTTAATTAAAATATCCATAGTTAAGTAAACTTGTTTCAGAGCGTTTTCATCTGAAAAAATTATTTTAATAAATATATTTGTAATATTATGGGTTTACTTTTCAGTTTTATTCATTCCAGTAAATCAGAATATTTTACAATTAAAAAAACAATATATACTTATTTAGTTATCTGGTATTCGTTACATTAAAATTAGTGATATTACAAATTTAATAAAATTTATTTTTGATTTTCTTGAAAAACCTTGCAACCGGAAGTTACATTGAGAGGTAAACGCTAATCCGTGGTTTTGCCACTGAATGGCTGTTCTGGTAGAGGGTTTAAAATTGGCATGCCCCCTGGAGAAATAATGGAATATACACTAAAGCCATTTTTCCAGAGGTCGTCCAGATTTTAATCCCTTTACCTGGAAAATCCCTTCCGTTGGGAATATCGCCGATTGAGTCTCTTCTTTCAACATAATTTCCCTTTCCAATTTTTTTCTAGGAAATTTGCAATAAAGTTTACTTAAATATTGAAACTTCAATTGAACGATTTTTTAATTATAATAGACTTAAACTTAGATATTATGAATGAGCAAAAAAAAGTTTTGAAAATTATATTATTATATTTAAATATAATATTATTTATCTAAATATAATATACTGTATATGCATTCTCACATATATTTTTTAGCATAATTCAAATATTCCAAAGTGAAGATTATTGTTCTGATGAGGGCAAAAAATTATGCCGGTCAAGCAAACAGGTTCTGCAATTGTCACGATCTGTTCTCGATTCAACAAGACGGGCCCAACTCTGAATCGTTTTTATGAGAAACAGGCCCCAGACGTCTTCATCGAACCTGAATACAGCCGACCAGGTGCCTTTTTAAAATAAAATTTAATTAAAGTTTGAAAACAATTTATTAAACACACAAGAAAATAATAATTAAAATCAATAAATTTCATTTTAATTTTGAACAAACAATTAAAACTTTTTATAAATTTAAATAAACAGTATTTTCCTACAAAGCGTTTGCCTGACCAAGGGTGGATATGTACTCACTATTTCTAATCAATCCGCAGTGGACCGAAACACTCATTCCGAAACATTTTAGGGAATACAACACTTTTGAGGATCGCACACTTCTCTTGTCTCTCTTCTACACGGAATCTTGTTCACCTCTCCGACTCGACTGTCCCTTCCCTATTCCCTTTTTATTTTTTTACTCTAGGCCTAATCACGAAATCTAAATCATAACATTGTCACTTTGAAATCAAGTGAAATGTGACACAATTATTTAAAATATCAAATGGCTATGTATTTGAGGAAAAGGGTTTACTTAAAAAGATATGAGTTGCATCAAGGGTGTTGAATAAATACTTAATTTCAATCCTTCAGGAGTTCAACCAGAATCATGGTTCGGCTGCGATTGCCTTCCAGGAGTTCTATCGTAAGTTTTGCTGATGGTCCTTCCGTGAAACTCTTCGCGTGCCTCGTACCTGTGGTATTGTTCCACCAGGTTTTGGACACATTAAGGATCCATTTTAAGATGTATCCTCTTTTGTGGCAGGCTGCTAGGCGCAGTAAGGTTCTCGGCCTATAGAGTCCATGTGATGATTAATGGTGACAGTTAAACATTTTTTTCTTAAGGAAGTGATGCTAGATAATACATAATGTTCAATTCTATTTCATATTAATAAATCTGATATTTGTTGTATTAAAATTTCAACATCTTGATGAACCACTTTTCAGATTTGCTTGAAAAACCGTTGGAATGGAAACTTACGTACGACGAAGAGGCGCTAATCCGCGGTGTTGCCATACGGAAAGGTGTAATTATGCCGTAATAATAAAAAAACTGTGATGCTCAATAAAAAGTACGTAATTAATTAGGAAATAGAAAGAAATGAGACATTTCTTAAATAATTAACGTTGTATTGGCAATTAGTACAAGGATAAATTTTTTTTCCAAATCCTTGTTCAACTGAGAAATTTATACGAACTGGTGGAATGAAGCGGAGGACAAAAAAAAAAAAATAAATAAATAAAAAAACCTGACGTTTTTCTTGTTTTGTTTCAAACTTTCAAACTGTATGTATTTTTATCTATGTATTTTTACTGTTAGAATGACTAAAAAAACTTTTTTAATGTAAGCCAAATTAAACAAGATCTATAATTGTAGATTTCCAAAAATGTCCAATTTAATTAGTTAATTAAGATTTAATTTTGGTGGATTGTAAGAAAATTCACAAAACACCAAAAAATCATTTACCGATAGTTTAAAATTTAAATTGTTAGAGTTAGAAATTTGTATGAACAGGTGGAGTTCAGAAAGTAAATGCCCGGCCGAAATGTGATTTAAATACACTCAAAGATAAACAAAATAAAATAAAAATAATAAAAACTGACGTATGTGTTGTTTATTTCAAACTTTCAAACAGAAAAAATCAAGAATTTTTATCGTTTTAATAACTACAAAATACTTCTTTTAATGGAACCTAAATTACACAACAATAGAAATTGTTGATTTTCAATAAGAATTTTGGATTTAATTAATTAATAATGGTTCAATTTTGAAGATTTGGAAGGAAAAATTGTGTAGAATCAGGCATTGTACTCGAACACCTACAATTTATTGGCTATGTGGCTCTGCTGAACCACAGAAATCAATTTTGTATTATTTATTTAAATTATATTTTATATTATATTAGAATACACGCATAATAATAATCTGCGTTCACTTCCATTACGAGAATGTATCTGTTATACATATTGATGCTAAATAATGTTCAGATCTTTTTCATATTTATAAATCTGGTATTTATTATAGAAAAATTTCAAAATTTGAGTGAAATATGTTTCAGATATCTTAGAAAAACCTTCAGAATAGGAAAATACGTTGGAAGAAAAGACTAATCGGCGGTGTTGCCCGAGGGAAGGGGGTTGTTCGAGGTAGGGGAATGAAAATTGACATGCCCCCTGGAAAAATACCTAAATTCTCCGGCTTTATAAATTGTCCGCTATGACAAAAAACATTTCATTTAACTGTTGTCCTCAAAGGGTTGAACATCGTTTGTGGAAACATTTTCCAGAGTTGTATTCAAGGAAGAAATCTGTAAGTCAAATTTCTGATTATTCTTCAATATTAAGATGAATTTTTAGTTCTTACTTTGGTACCTTTCAAACCGACTGCGGTTTTCTTTCCTATGTATGCATTTTGTATATACAGTTTAAATAAAATATAACTTTTATATTTTCAATTTCTGAAGACGTTCAAAGGCAAAATTTTATTTATTTTAAAATTGTGTTTTTTTTTTTAGATTTGCAATACAGATGAAGATTCATGTTTACAAAATGGAATGGAATTTTATGAAATTTTTAGAAATACTAATCAAAAATTTACAAAATATTTCTTGCTTATCATTGCATTAACAAACAGAGTATTTTTTTGACAAACGTGTTTCAATTTACTGTAACTTGTGTTTAATAAATGTGTTTTGTATGTTACAGGTAGCAAAGTCAATCAATATGGAGAATCTGGCTGAAGGTTTTTTACCCCAGATCGACGTAAACGACAGTGACTTCGCTTACGATAATTCTTGCTACAGTACGTGCACCTTCCGTTCATCCACGTTTGACGGATTGGATGAAAGTTCAATAAATTTCCTCCACATGCTCTTTCACACGGATGAACGGATACTACAGAAGATTGACGCCGGTGTTCAAGGAAGCCAGAACAGATGTATGAATCCCCCCACGGGGACGCAACCCAGGGTGCATACTGGACGGCGGAATGGAATGGCTTCCAAATCAGGCGTAAGTAAAGACAGGTATATGCACTTCTGTAATAAAGGTTTTAAAGATCGGTATGCCCTGAAGGTTCACTTCAGGGTACATACCGGTGAAAAACCTTTCGTTTGTAATATTTGCGAACGTGGATTTACACAGAAAGCTCACCTTTTGAAGCATATGGAAATCCACGTTCGCCAATGATTGCAATTCTAATTTTTTATTTTTTATTTTTATTTCATTTATTTATTTTTTTGGGGTACGAATGGGTATTATGCGTCTCAAATAGCCTCTAATACCCAACTCCGACTTTCCACCTTCACGAAGCTTAAGCGGGTGTACCCTGTTGATTTAACAAACGGAAAGAGGGGTATGGAGGTTCAGGAGCTCGACCTGACACCTCCTAAACCAAAAACCCACACCTTACACCCAATCCTAGTCCCAAATTCCAGCCGAAATCTAAGGTGTTATGCGACCCGTACCGATGGATGAATGGTGCAGGGGTAACTGTGCCAATAACGGACCGTCAAGGACACCAGATGACACACTTGAGTAAGTGACTTTACACCGGAAAGGCTTTTCACAGAAAGCCCACCTTTTAAAACACCAGGAAATCCACGGCCGACGATGAAGGTAATCGTATTTTTGTATATATTTTTATAAATGACTAATATATATAACGTATACATTGATGTGTTTTTGAAAATAAATTGTTAAGCATACATAAAGTTGTATTCATATTTTAACGTACTTCAATCTACAAATCTTGTACTCATTATTGAAAAAGTTAAGTCAAATATATTTCTGATATCATAGAAAAACAGTAGGAATGGGAAAATACGTTCCAGGAAGAGACGCTAACCCGCTCTATTCCCCAGGGATGGAGTGTTCCAGGAATGGATGGAGTTGTATTTACGGTAGAAATCGGTAAGTAAAATTTCTGATTATTATTCAATATTAAGACGAATTTTTAGTTCTTACCTTGGTACCTATCAAACCGACTTTTGTCTGAAGGTTCATTTCAGGATACATACCGGTGAGAAACATTTCGTTTGCGATATTTGCGAACGTGGATTTACACAGAAAGCTCACCTTTTAAAACACAAGGAAATATAACAATAAGAATACAAATTCAATTTTTCAAAATGGAATGGAATTTTATGAAATCGTTACACTTATTTTTAAAATACAGAAACGTAAAAATAAATTACTGCATTAACTAATAGGTTATTTTTACGACAAACGTGTTTCAATTTACTGTAACTTGTGTTTAATAAATGTGTTTTGTATGTTACAGGTAGCAAAGTCAATCAATATGGAGAATCTGGCTGAAGATTTTTTACCCCAGATCGACGTAAACGACAGTGACTTCGCTTACGATATTTCTTGCTGCAGTACGTGCACTTTACGTTCATCCACGTTTGAAGGATTGGACGAAAGTTCAATCAGTTTCCTCCACATCCTCTTTCACACGGATGAACGGATACTACAGAAGATTGACGCCGGTGTTGAAGTCAGCCAGAACAGATGTATGAACCCCCTCCCACGGGGACGCAACCCAGGGTGCATACTGGACGGCGGAATGGAATGGCTTCCAAATCAGGCGTAAGCAAAGACAGGTATATGCACTTCTGTACAGTTTGTAGTAATGGTTTTAAAGACCGGTATGCCCTGAAGGTTCATTTCAGGATACATACCGGTGAGAAACCTTTCGTTTGCGATATTTGCGAACGTGGATTTACACAGAAAGCTCACCTTTTAAAACACAAGGAAATATAACAATAAGAATAAAAATTCAATTTTTCAAAATGTAATGGAATTTTATGAAATCGTTATACTTATTTTTATAATACATTTAGAAACGTAAAAATAAATTTGTGACTTAACATTGCATTAACTAATTGATGTGGATTGATGGAACGTGTGTTTAACAAGTTTTTTTTTGTCGCAGTTAACAAAGTCAATAAGAAAAAAATGCAGAATCAGATTTATAATATTTATGCACTCCCTCAAATCGAAGTCGACGAAAACCACTTCATACCCGACAACAGACAGGTAGAAAATAGCCGGTACACATATCACGGCCGAATACCAAAATGTGATGTAACGTGCACTTTCCGTGTATCAAATAATAAATAATTAGATGACATTTCTATCCATTTCCTCCACATCCTCTTCCACATGTACGAGAGGACATTACAAAAGTTGCAGATCTCCAGGAAAGCCGAACAAATTGAAGTAAACAAAAACGACTTCGTTATTCTCAAGATATGGGGCAGGTGGCTGAGGCGAATACCAGCGCGTTCACTTGCCAGGAGAGTACCAAATTGTGACGGTATGTGCACCTGCCAAGCATCAGCGAATGAAAGATTGGACGACATTTCAATCCATTTTCTCCACACCCTCTTCCATATGGATGAAAGGGTATTACAGAAGACAGATGCTGATCTTGAAGAAAACCAGAAATACAAATGGAAACGTAAAATTAATTTTGTTGCTTATCATTGAATTGACTAATAGATTATTTTTATGACAAACATGTTTCAGTTTACTGGAACGTGTGTTCAACAAATGTGCTTTTCGTAGATAACAAAGTCAATAAAAAAATGCAGAATCAGACTGTAGATTTTTCTACATATTGAAATAACCGAAAACGATTTTGTTTTCACTAATTCTCAAGACATGAGACACGTGGTTGATGTGCATCTTCGGAGCATCTGACGGATTGGACGAAATTTCTGTCTATTTCCTCCTCCACCGCTTTCATATGGATGAGAGGATACTACAGAAGATTGACGCCGCCGGTGTTGAAGGAAGCCAGAACAGGTGTATGAACCCCCCCACGGGGACGCAACCCAGGGTGTATACTCGACGGCCGCATGGTTTCGCTTCCACGTCGGGCTTAAATAAAGATAGACGCACTTCTGTGCAATATGCCGAAAAGCTTTTAAAGACGGTATGCCCTGAAGGTTCACTTCCGGATACATACCGGTGAGAAACCTTTCGTTTTCCAAAAATACGAGCGTGGATTTTCACAGAAAGCCCACCTTTCGAAGCATAAGTGAATCCAGGTGCGACGATAGATATAATTCTAAATTTTATATACGATATATTTATCGATGTATTTTTAAAAATAAATTGTTCAGGATATATAAATTTGTATTAATATTTTAATTTATATCCTTCCTTTGCGTAGTACTTCATACATTTCGTTTTCAGACCGGCGAGATATCATTTGTTTGCGATGTATGCTGTCGTTGAATAAAAATTCCAACTTTTAACGCACAAGCAAAATTCGTTTGCTTGCGCACACAGGGGAAAAATCATTCCTATGCGCTGTATTGCCAGCGAGAGACTAAAGAAATTTTTTGAATCACGATAAGATTCTAAGGCGACCCTGCACGTATAATACCAAACAGATTCCAAATATTTACTTGAAGTGTCGCAGACCAATGATTTAAAAGATATATTTTACCTTGTCTAATATATGATATTTATATTTATTTAATAAAGTATTATGGAATTATAAAATATTTGTTGTTTATTTTTTTATTATTGTTAAATTACAATTTCAATTTGACCCCTGGACCAATACTCAGTATTTTCTTTGTCATGTTTTTCAAAATCTTTTAAACTCGTGAAAGTATTTACTTGACAAGGACAAATGCGCATTTACAAACTGTTATCAAACAAGATTTCGAACATTTTGTAAATTGAATATAATGGAAATTAAATACAATTTCTTAGATATTTTTTCTGCATATTTGAATAGTTCAAACCATTTTGTAGAAACGTAATTAGTTATGTATGATTAAATCTTGTTTCCTTCGGACACATTTTCCGATTTAATTAGATGAGCTGCCTTCAATAGCAATTATGCATAATGTCAATTTACTAGTTTCCCCCTGGTTTTCACAAAAACTGTTCAAGTTATAACTAATTGGTAACATTTAAAAAAAAAAATCATAATCTCTACTTTCAAACATTACACTAATTATGCATTCTCTGCAATAACTTTCTTTTTTCAAATTAAAAAACGTGTAATTTTATACGCGTATTAATCTCGTTAATTAATTTTTTAATTTAAAACCATGAGTGAGTGTGTGTAAGAGAGAGAAAGAGAGAGTGAGAGTGATAAAGACAGAGAGAGAGTGAGAGAGAGAGTGATTTAACCACGCAAAGTTAAGTCTCGTGGACCTTTCTTCCACTTAACGTAACATTTTACAATATACATACAATTTATGCAGACTTTTTTGGTCTTTATAATTTATTGTACAAATAGAATACATAAAAAAAATAAAGTGATTTCAACCGACAAAAATACAGGTTCGTTCAGTTAACAGACCCCCCCCCCCCCCAGGAATAAATCTCACGATTTAACGCGAGGAGCTTGGTCATATTTGAAAAGAAAAACTTCCATTACTGCAGGTTTTATGTATGTGAAATGAAACCAAGTGAATTGTAATAAAGTCGCAGCGGTACGAAAAACCATTTTTCCCTTCTGGCGTCAATAAAATAGGTTAGAAATCTAAATTTGTCTATTAGGGGAATCCAAGATCGTCGGGTGAACATTTTTGGCCTATACAGGCTTTTTTTAAATAAATTACTTTGAAAACAGAGAAAATCAGGAAAGCGTGAAAGTTTAACTAATTGTAAAATAAAATTGACGATAAAATAGGCCTGCGCTACGTTTGTGAGTGGATTTTCTGTCCCAAATCGTATTAAAAACCAACAAAATTCGAGACAATTAATAGAGTTTAAAATTCAAAATAAGAAACTAAGTATTTGTTGGATAGAAGCTCTAACCCTTGCTGATCCGTACGTTGACCGTTTCAAGCTCCTCCCACCGTTCTGTCAGCTTTTCCCATGTTTGGTCTTCCACGCCCCTTAATTAAAGATCCTTCCATTTTGTTTTTATGGGAAAATGCTTAATTGTTCTTCCTAGGCGTTATACAATGTGGTTTGAACCGATTTCGAAAACTAAATACATCAAATGGAAGTTTGTCTCCTACTAGAAAATAACATTTTCCAAACAATTTCACATATATCGATATGGTCTTCTCTCTAGACTATCTTCACGAGCGGGATTCGAACCTACGATCTTCGGCTAGAATCGCCGCTGCTCTACCGCTTGAGTTGTCGTGACTTCGATCCGCTCGGACACTAACTTCCCATCTCAACCCCACCTTTTTGGATTTTGAAAAATGGCATAAAGGAGGGAAAATTCAAAAAGGTGGGGGTTGAGTTGAATCTATTAATACTAGACGCAACAAACTCTGTATTTACGGTACGTAAATTATACATTTTGTTCTTTACCTTACCTGCGAACACTTCTTTAAAATACCTTAATATTTCCGGTTCAAGGTCATAAGTTACTCATAAATATTTACTCGCTTTAACTAAAAAATATCCGGAATTCTAAAAATACTCCCCTGACTAGATGTAAGACATTGCAGACTCGCCATCTGGTTTTTCTTTAAATGATTCTACTTCATGTGCTATATCATGCTTTATGATATTTCCTACTCTTATATAACCATATTCTGTATTTGGAAGAGTTGGTTTGATTCCGAATATCATGACTTTAGTAAGTGAAACAGCCTTTTTTAAAGAAAGATAGTTCCTACTCACAGTAAGTTGTTTTCCAACGAAGGATTTCTCTAAGTGATTTTCATTACAAACACGCTGGAATATAAGCAGTAAAAGCATTTTTTTGATGATCATGATTCGTAAATTGAATACCAATATCAATTTGAACTTTATGTATTTTATAAGGTAAAGCTTTTATCAAATTAGTAAGAAATCTGCAGCAATCATCTTGGTTTGGCTTTTTTGAAGCTCAGCATAGGCAAATTTAGAAGTTTTATCAATTGCAGTTGTCTAGGATTCATATTAATGGGTGAGGTTCCAACTTTTTGAGAAGTCAGCCCCGAGCCAAGTTGTTTTGTTTCCACTCAGGTCCCAGTGGAAACATTAATGAAAATTTCTTTGAAATCGAAGAGATTCCCTCGTACGAGAGTCAAGTATGTCTCAAGAGGACAGTGATTGTGAAAAAATGTTCCAATCAACAGTTCGTCGAATGAGCTCGGGACGATTTATTGTTTCACTGCCTTTTAGGGATAATCCCCATAAGTTAGGGAATTCTTTTGAAGTCACCAAACGCAGGTTTTTTTAATTTAGAGTCTCGATTTCGGCGTGATCCAGATTTCCGTAGGGCCTATCAAGAAGTAATTCAGGATTATTTACATCAAGGTCACATATCTCCCCAGGATTTAACCGATAGATCGGGCTATTTTATCCCTCGTCATGGCGTGTTCAAACCTCAAAGTATGAGTACACCTCTTCGGGTGGTATTCGACGCCAGTGCGAAGACCAGCTCTCAAGTCTCGTTAAACGATCTTCTTCACGCTGGCCCAAAATTGCAAACGGATATTTTCCGTCTGTTAATTCATTTTAGATTATCGGCCATAGCCCTGACAGCTGATATAAAACAGATGTATCTGCAGATCGTTGTTGCCGACGAACATACTCGTTTTCAAAAAATTTTGTGGAGGTTTTCGGAAAATGATCCCGTCCAAACATATAAAATTAATTGTGTCGTGTTTGGAATGACTTCTTCCCCATTTCTTGCTCTGAGGTAGGTCATTGAACTCGTCAAATTAGAAGGTGGTCGTTTTCCTTTGATCAAGGGCCGGCTTCCAGAAGACATGTATATGGACGATTTTGTTACCTCGGTTGATTCATTGGAGGAAGCTAAGAAACTGAAATCCCAAGCCCAA